ATTAAAACAATTTTACCGTCATTTTTTCTACCAATTATAGGCCTAACTCTCTTTAGCTCTTATTAGCATATAATAGTAGATATAAATAACAAAATTGATATTTGCACAAAATATAAATGACATCACTTATTCATTTTCTTGCCAACTAGTCAACTACCTCTTCTTTTGATTTAATTCTAATGGATGTAAAAGATATATTGAGTACTTTTACTCACAATTGTATCTCGTTTGTTAAGTGTTCTGCGAACCGGACCGCCCATCTTTAGATAGGGAGTCCGCTTCCAAGTCTGAACGTTTGGAGTGATTTGTCAACCCTCCTTTTTCATTTGTACTGCTCTTTATCATGATTTAATCTTTTTGAAAGGAGCCTGTACGACATTTATTCAAAATATGCAGAAATAGAGATTGGTGGACCTGAGTCCGAGTACATAATAGTTGACTGAGATAAAGTAGTAGATGCTAGTGTATGAGCTAAATAATTGTCTACTCTAGGAATATAACGAAGCGAACAATAATCAAAAGATAGCCCTGCAACTATCAATGGCATAACCCAAGTATGAGCGTGGCGAGTGTGCCATTGATGATAGGTATTGTTGAAGCACCAAACAATCCGTGAAAAGTTCGACTGACCTTACCCCACGATTTCTTAACCAGGATAAAGCCTCTTTGCATGCAAAAGCTTCCGCCATTAGAGGTGAAAAATAGTCCATCATGGGAGTCAACATAACAGAAACATAACCTCCTTGCCCGTTGAGTAGAATTGCCCCCATCGTCGTTTTGTTTGTTTGGTGAACATATGCCACGTCGAAGTAACACTGGTGCCGCATGGTTGAGGAAGCAGCGTGGTGTTGCGTTACTGGTGCAGTTGGCCGAGGGAGCTGTGGTGTAGGCGCAGGTGGAGTCGGATGCGTTACAGTGGCTGTAGCAGTAGTAAGTTGGTTTCCATTGTGCACTGTGGTAGCTACTGGAATTGCATCCATCACGGCAGTAATATTCCGGCCAATTGCCGCAGAGGTGGTTATCGTACTTGTCCGACCGGGGTGGACCAGTTTCCATGCTTGTACAACCGAGGTTGCCATTGCAATCACTTTCCGTGGTCTGGGTAAACATGCCTCCCATACAGCCCCATTTCTCGTACGCCAAATATAGTATAGAAGAGCCACTGCATAAACAATCTCATTATCATCTAAAATGTTTAACAAATCATTAAACCAATCACTGAAAATATTTGTGACACTATTGGGGATTGGAAAGTGGGATTGTGTCCAAATGTTGGCCGTATAATCACATGTGATTAAAGAATGCACAATATCTTCATGCATGATCCCACACATGGCACATGTTAGATCAATATCAACTCTCTTTATAAGTAGGTTCTTCGTAGTGGGTAAAATATCATTTAGAGCTCTCCATAAAAATGTTTTCCACTTTGGGGGATCTTAAGCTTCCACAAATTCATCCATTTATCAAAGGTCCCCACCGGTTGAGTGTAGTCACCAACTACTGTTCTATAGCCATTCTTAACTGTATATTCTCCTTTTGGGTCCCCATACCAATACCATAAATCTTCATAATCTGGTGATACAGGTATTTTTAAAATTCGTGCCACATCTTCAGGTATAAAAATATCCGTGAGAATATCCTTATCCCAAGTTCCTGTTTGTTGGTCCATTAGTCCCATTATCTTTGCCTGTGCTGGGGTGGTTTTTTTGTTACTATTTTCGAGATATGCTCATCATGCAGCCATGGATGATCCCATATGAGGGTTGATTCTCCATTCCCAATCCTGTGTCTCACTCCTCCACAAATTAATTCCTGTGCCGCCAGTATACTACGCCAACAAAAGCTTGGATTATTCCCCAAGCGTGCATCAAAGAAAGTGGTAGTTGGATAATACCTGGCTTTGTAAACTCTTGAAACCAAAGATTGTGGCTGTGTTAGAAAACGCCACGCTTGTTTGCCCAGCATAGCAAGATTAAAGGCACGTAACTCCTTAAACCCCAAACCTCCATATTTCTTGGGAATGCATAGCTTATCCCATGCTTTCCTGCTTTCCAATGGATACCCTGGTCATCCTTCGATCTCCACCAGTAACGGTTCATGGTCCTCTCAATGGCAGTGCACAGAGTCATAGGCAATAAAAAGACACTCATTGAAAAGGTAGGCATAGACTGAACCACACTTTTCAATAAAACCTCCTTTCCTGCCTGTGACAAAATTTTTTTGTTCAACGAGCCAATCTTCTGTCTTATTTTGTCCTCAATATATGAAAACTACCAATAAATGTGAGTATAATTTTAAAAGAAAAAGAAAATCACATTCAGGGAAATAATTGGCTAGTACAAAAGGAAACAGTGTGGCATTTGGGCTGGTATAGAATGATGCCTTTGGGGTCTCATTGAAATAAGAAAGAGACAATCCATATATAGTGACTGCTCTGCTCTTTTCCAGAAAATCACATGCCTTTGTAGCTCTGCTAGTTGATTGTCCATCGTTGTGGTAGGGTAACCCTTACAGATGATTTGCTCATAAAATCTTATGACTTTATACCAACTTGCATTTTACCCCTTACTTTTTAATCCACCTTCGTGTTTGATAACATAGTTAGGTTATCAATTAAATTTGATTTATTTGATTATTATTAGCTATTTGACTTGATTAAACAGTCAATATAAGTGGATTAATTAGCTTTTTGTAACAGCTTATTGCTTCAAAATGTTAAAATTCAAAAAGTTAGAGAAAGTCATTTTGTATGTAATCATTTATCTGCTAACAGCTAATTTACCAAACATCTTTTTATAATAAGCTAATGTTATCAATTAGTCAAACCCACTAAAACAATCAATTAACAGCTATTTGCCAAACATCTCCATTACTTCTAAGAACATTCTCAAGATGAATTTTTTCCTAAATTTTGTCTTTATGTGGGTGGGAGAGAGTGTGAGATAAAAGGCATATAAGGTTTGGGTTTGGGGGGAGGGGTGGGGGGAATGAATTTGCAGTTAAGTGGGTGTTTTGTGGGACTTGTTGGGGAGACAGAAAAAGAAAGGATGTTGGAGTTGGGGCTTTCCAAACTAGAGTTTGGGCTCTTGGACTCTTTAGACTGGAGTTTAAGCTCTTCAAATTAGTAAAAGTGGGAAGATGAATCCCTTATCTTGCAGAGTCAATGATAGAAACTGACTGAGCCACTGTTTGAGCGACTTACGATTTACCTATTCTAGTAACACTTGGACCCGCAAAGGTTCTGGGGACTTAGGACAAACTAACGTTACTTTATCTTTAATTTATTTTTATTTTTTATTTAATACTCGTAATGAGATTGGGTGATATTGAAAACATGCACATGCAGGAATGAGATTCAGAATAGAAGGTATGGAACGACATGCCCAATTTTGCCAGGACACAATTTCACCTACATGTTGCAAGTGAAAGATCAAATTGGAAGCTTCTAGTATTTCTCCTCTCTTGCATTTCACAAAGCTGCCGGTGGTTTCGGAGGTATTAAGATCCTTAGCCGCCCCAAAATCCCTGTCCCCTTCCTTGATCCCGCCGCTGATTGGAGATTGGTACAAAGCCAATCACACGGTACCTACTTCTCTAATAATAAATTTATAAATATTAATAATAATTTATTATTTAGAAAATATTATATAATTAACAATCAATTTACATTTAATAATTATTATATAATTAAATTAATTTTATAAAATATGTCCTTATATAATCCGTAATTATTAACCTCCTTTTACTAAGGTTTTTTTTTTGGGTGATTTTGTGACTTTGTGGAGTGTCGGTAAGCAAGCAGAGCCAGTCGAATTTTGACCATTGGATGTACTTTTATTGCTGGGTCGGATCATTCATAGCTTGCTGTCTCTATGAATAGCAATAGGGCGGTGGTGGGTGCGGGGATATATCCCCTGCCCCTGCACCCGCTTCCAATCTACTTCCCGCACCTGTGCGAATAATGAAATTTTTATCACATACTCGCTTTTACGGAGATTTTACGGGTGCGGGTAATATTCAACCCGCAACTTTAATTATTAATATTATACTTAATTAAATCTAATAACAATTTTATACTACAATTCTAGTTATCACATAAATTTTTTTATAAGTTTGAACATAACTTTATATAAAATTTAATAAGAGCCAATGAAGTAAGTCCTTAATTGGAACTAAAATTGTGTTGGTAGTATAAATTGTATTAAGTGTTTATTCATTATGTAATTTGTATTGTTCATATTCAATTTTCATAAACAAAAAACTAAAAAGTTTAATTTATTATGCATTTTTAATTATAATAAAATATACACAAACTTATATAATAAATGAATACTAATAACAATATATATATGACTGCGAGTGCGGGCCGGGCATACCACCCCGCACCCGCCTCCATACCCGCACAGGTATATAAAATTTTCCACATAACAGCATCCATTACTCAAATTGTGCAAGTATTTTAAAATCGGTAAAAATAGAGATGTGGGAAACTCGTTGAAAGCGGGTAGAATTGTCATCCATGCCTGTCTCTGAGTTGTGTTCCAACCATTTTAATGGGACCAAATAATAAAAACATTACTTGCTAATTATAACATGTGAGTTCACTTGTCAATTTTTTGCACACAAAACTATATATATATATATATATATATATATATATATATATATAATCCAAAGCCCACATCCATAAGATTTGCACGCACCATATCACATTCACACACACTGTCGTATATAATCAACTAAAAACACATTACCATATGCACATACCAGTGTTGTTACTGGCCATTCTCAAGCTCTGAGCTTTTGTCGTTTGTCGTTTTCAGATTCTTCTATACACGTTATTTTTTTTATCAGCTCTCTATACAAATTATTACTAGTCTGATCGAGTGACATTGTGCATGGAAAACTGATCTGTAAGTGACATTGTGCTTTGTCTTTCCACTATACATCCTTGCATTTAATTTGAGGTTCAGAGAGAGAGAGAGTCGTCCATGGATATGGATTACGAGAGGATTTTGGTAGCACTATGCTTGGCCTGGACTTTGGTTCAATGCCTCCGTCTATTATTAGCAAAAAGGGGCAGCAGGAAGTTTCCCCCGGGGCTGTTCCCGTTGCCGGTGGTCGGAAACCTTCATCACTTGCTTGGAGACCAACCCCACAAGTCCCTAGCCCGGCTAGCCCGAAAATACGGTCCTGTTATGATGCTGAAATTGGGCATGGTAAACACAGTGATCATTTCTTCATCCGCCATGACCAGAGAAGCTCTACAAAAGCAAGACTTAGCCTTCTCCACCCGCTCAATCCCTGACGTCCTGAGAGCTCGCAACCATTGCCAATTCTCTGTTATTTGTCTCCCTGTCTCATCCAAGTGGAGAACCATCCGCAAGATCATGAATTCCAACATCTTTTCCAGCAGCAAGATCCAAGAGCTTATTACCTTCTGCCAAAACAACAGCCAGGCTGGGGAGGCCGTGGATATTGGCCGCGCAGCTTTCAGGACTACAATGAATTTGCTCTCAAACACCATTTTCTCCAAAGATTTGACCGACCCTTATTCGGATTCGGCCAAAGAATTCAAAGAACTGGTTTGGAACATCATGGAGGGAGCTGCAAAACCCAACCTGGTTGACTTCTATCCTTTTATGGAAAAGTTTGATCCCCAGAGATCACAGCGTCGCATGAGTGTTCATATCACTAAGGTGCTAGACCTTTTCACAGACTTGATTGATGAACGGCTGGAGGAGAGGAGAGTCAGCGGCAACAAAAACGTTGATGTATTAGATACACTTCTCAACATCAGCCAAGAAAAACCAGATGAGATTGATAATAATACCATAATTAAGCATCTTTGCTTGGTATGTTCCCTTCTTTCCTTACCTCATTGCTTTAATAACTTTGTTACTTGTTAATACATGACAGTGGGATGGTTTAATTTTCTGTATTTTCACCCAAATGCAATCTTTAATTAGTTCTTTACCTGGCCTGTGTCAAATTCAAGACACTTGCATGCTATAATTGCTTGATGTTGATGTTCCATATTGGTTGTCTCCTATATCAACAGGACTTGTTTGCTGCCGGGACTGATACATCTTCAAACACAGTAGAGTGGGCAATGACAGAACTTCTTACTAACCCTGATGCTATGACAAAAGCTCAAGCAGAGCTTGCAGATGTTATTGGCAAAGGCAGACTATTAAACGAAGGTGACGTTACTAGCCTTCCATACTTGCAATGCATCATGAAAGAAACGTTCAGACTACACCCACAAGCTCCGCTCTTACTTCCACGTAGAGTTGAACAAGATGTGGTCCTATGTGGATATACCATACCTAAGGACTCCAAGATTCTATTCAATGTATGGGCAATGGGGCGGGATCCAAGTATTTGGAAAAATCCATTGATGTTTAATCCTGAAAGGTTTTGGAATTCTGAAATAGATGTTAGAGGGCGTGATTTTGAGCTTATTCCATTTGGTGCTGGTCGAAGGATTTGCCCTGCAATGCCAATGGCATTGAGAATGGTTCCAATAATGCTAGGGTCATTGTTGAACTCATTTCGGTGGAAGATTGAAGGTGACATAGCACCAAAGGATTTGAACATGGAAGAGAAGTTTGGAATTACATTGGCTAAAGCTCATCCTCTTAGAGCCATCCCTATTCCCTTGTAACATAGTAGCATGCCAGTTTTATTCTCCATCCATATATAATAGTTTTCAATAACTATATATGTTGCCCCGAATTGTATTTTTATTGTTATAGTAGTGTTGTTGTTGTTGTTGTTGACTATGGAAATGTTGAAGCAATGGGTGGAGAACTGTGTGGGAATGGCAATCCATTACTGCAATTTCGGCGCCCATTATCAGTAATCATGCAATGTCAACTAGCAATTCTACCATTCCCCCTTCGACTTGGCTAGTGAAATTAAAGTTGATGCGTCTGTCCAGCAGAATTAATGATGAACTTGGATATTATGGTATTGTGGTTTTTAATTTGATGATGGTGGTGGATTTGTGGCGGCAAAGTGTGGTTCATCCGTTGTCTAAAGGATCAACATCATGTAGAAGCAATAGCTATTAAGGAAATTTTTTCTTGAATTATTTTTCAAGGTTGGCGTAATGTCGTCATTCATTCGGACCTGTCAATAGGTGTGCAGGTTCATTAACCAAAATCTTTGGGATAATTCCTAGGCAATATTATTAATCAAAAGTCTAACTTTAAAGTCTAACGAAAATTAATTCCTATGCAGGCAAAACCAACTTTAAAGTCTAATAAAAATTAATATTAATTCAAAATTTAAAAAAAAAAAGTAAAATCTACAAATAATATTAATTTTTTTTGTATTTAAATTGTTTAAAAAAATACATTTTTAAAAATATTATATATATATATATATTGGTTCCAATGAGAACAGGTCTTCCCGTGCGGTCAGTGCGGCATATACCATTAGGTATGCATAAATGCATCATACAGTGTTCGAGAATACACCAGAATGAAATGGAAAAAAATGCACCACAAAAAAAAAAAAAAAAAAAAAAAACACCACACATAATGGTGTATTTTTAAACACTGTGTGGTGCATTTATACATACCTAATAATGTATGCCACAGTGACCGCGCGGGAAGACCTGTTCTCATAGGAACCTGACCCTATATATATATATATATATATATATATATATATATATATATATATATATATATATATATATATATATATATATATATATATATATATATATTGAATACCGCGGCAGAAAAGGAGAGGAATGGTGGAGGCACTGTGGAGCCTATGGCGGTGGATCGCCGGAGCACATCTCCGGTGGCAGAGGAGCGACTGACTGCGGAGGAGAATGATGCGGTTGAGGAGGAAGGTCCTAGGCTATGAGCTGGTGAAATTCCTTTATTACATTCCACTCTAATAGATCTTTGACCCTAAACCTAAGGGAGGACCATATTAGTTAACATTTACAAAATCGAGAGCTTTATTGGGTAACAAAAATAGTCAAGGATCAAATTGATAATTTTACAATAGTCAAGGGACCATTTTGGTAATTAACTCTTTATATTTTCTAGTGAGCAGTTGCTAGAGATTTGGTTGAAAGGACCAAATGTGATAAGAAAGTATATTTGTGTACTAAACGTAGTAAAATTAATAGTTGTAACCAAATGTAGAGAGTGAGTAATAGTCGAAAGACCAAAAGTGGTAATAACTCTTTAAAAAACTATTGTATGCAAAGTTCAAGTGAGAAAGATGCTTCAATAACTTTTCAAGAAATTTAATTGTTGTATTTTTTTGTGACAAGGGAAACCACAAACCAGTGTGCGAAACCCTTAGGTTGTTCCCGACTTTTCGCTGAAAGTGTAACCTTATAGTTATCAAGTCAACATCCTAACTAGTTTGACTGAAATTGCCCTGAAAGTGTTTTTTTATTTATGTTTTATAAGTTGATTAAATATAAATGATTAAATAATCAACTTGGTTGGTATGAGTGTCCATACACTCTCATTCCTTAAGTTAAGAGAGGTCGGGAGTTTGAACCCCTCTCGTATGAAAAAATCAATCTCCAATCTAGCAGCGGCTCAGGTCTAGGGATGAAAATTCTACCCGACCCTACGAATTTTAAAATAGTCGCACAATTTGGGTAATGGGTACGGGTATGGGGGGAAATGGACTAGGGATGAAAATTCTACCCGCCCCCCTATGGGTTTTAAAATACCCGCACAATTTGAAAATGAGTGCGGATATGAGAGGGAAATTTGTATACCTGGGCGAGTGCTGGGAGGTAATCCCGCCCCACACTAGCACTTATATATATTGTTATTAGTATCATTTATTATATAATTTTATGTATATTTTATAATTATTAAAAATGCATAATGAATTAAACTTCTTAGTTTTTTGTTTATGAAATTTTAGTAGTAACAACACAAATAACGTAATGAGTAAACACTTAGTACAATTTATACTACCAACACAATTTTAATCTCAATTAAGGACTAATTTCATTGGCTATTATAAAAAAAAAAAATTCATGTGATAATTACAATACTGATTTTTATTAAATTTAAGTGTAATATTAATAATTAAAAGTTGCGGATTGAGTATAATCCGCACCTGCAAAATCCTGGCAGAAACAGATATAGATTAAAATTTTCATTACCCAGCGCGAGAACAGAATAGAGTAGAATTTTCATTACCCCGCACGAGTAGGAATACGAGTACAGAGAATGAGTTGAAAATGGAGGTATGGGGACGGGGATATATCCCCGCACCAACCCATCCCATTGCCATTCCTACTCAGGACATCTTACCAACAAAAAGTACAAATGAGTAAATATTATTAAGATGGATTTAGACGATTACCTAACATTACCCGGGAAAAAAAAAAAAAAAAAACTTATCTTGGACCATTGCAGCCGACGTTTTCAAGCTTTGGATACTACAGAAGACGCTGACAGCATAAGAGAAGAATGGAGAGCAAAGATTCCCAATTTACTGAATAATCTTCTTATCAAATAAAGATGGCTGCCAAATGTTGTGTACACCATTCCACCCAAACTCCTGTTCTGTACGTATGAATATCTCTCCATCTATTCATCTCTGTAAAATGATAACTCCGTAGAGCAATCTTGTTTTGTGATACTGGGGATTTTTTATTTATTTTTATTTTTTTTGGGTAAGGATTTTCAGTGCTGACCACTTGAAGTTATTGTAAAGATGAATTGCAAACTGCTTCAAGTTTGTATAATTTCCATTTTCTGTGTCGGTTTGGTAGATGGTTACTATCATATAAAAAAGCAGTGAATTTGGCTCACAAAGAATTGAACTTTACAGATATATGACCTATTGCACAACTGCATTTGGTTTTTGTGATTATCCATCCAATTTAATTCACTGTTTGTGGCTTTATACAGGTGTGGTTATTCTCTTTTGTTGTAATGTTGAGTGGTTACTCTCTTATCATCTTTGAATTTTCTCAATTTATTAAAATCCAGTTAAATTTTATTTTGGTCTAACTTAGAGAACAAACTATATGTTGGGCATATATTCATATGTCATTCAAAATCCTCACTAGTAAATTGAGATATGATGATGGGGTTAACAGTTTCTCTTCTCAGTTCTTGAAACCGAGCAAAACTTGCGCTAGAGACTAAAGAGGGAGAAGAGTGTGTGGCTGTGCGTGTTGTATTTAGTTCTTGAAATGGATTCAAAAGCAGAAAAACAAGCGCCAATTGGGAAAACAGCTGGGAAGCCGATTAGATGCAGAGGTATACTTTTGCGACATTTTATTACTTTGGTTACTGTTTCACCGTTATAATCATTGGCTGTTTGGTTTCATTGAATGCGGTGCAGCTGCAGTGGCAAGGAAAGCTGGGGAGCCACTGGTGATAGAGGAGGTGATAGTGGCCCCACCGAAATCTCATGAAGTTCGCGTTAAGATTATCTGCACTTCTCTCTGTCACACTGATGTTTTCTTCTGGAAACTACAAGTAAACATTATGGCTAGTTTATCGTTTACAGTTTTTCTTATAAAGGCAGCTTTCTAATCTGTTTTGTTTTGTTCTTTTTTTTCTTTTTGTGTATTTTTTCTCTGATTTCTTGCTCAAGCAATTCCCAGGTTGTTTTCCAAGAATCTTGGGCCACGAAGCTTTTGGGTATTCTCAGTTTCTTTTCACTAATTTAATTCTTCAAAGATTCACTTTTGTGATTGTTTGCATAGTTTGATATGTTAAAGCATCAAACTTTATTAATGGTTTGATCTGGAATATTCTTTTGTTAATTGTAGAGTACTTACAGCATAAAATCGAGGTTTATATATGCTTCTACTATTCTAATTCTTCAGCATGTACTAAATTTAGGATTGTAGAGAGTGTAGGAGAAGGTGTTGAGGATTTTAAGGAAGGCGATTCAGTAGTTCCAATATTTTTGCCAGACTGCACAGAATGCATAGACTGCAAATCCAAGAAAAGCAATCTGTGCACGAAATTTCCATTTAGGGTCACTCCTCTTCTGCATAGAGATGAAACAAGCCGATTCACCGACCTCGAAGGAGAGGCTTTGCACCATTTCCTGTTTATATCAAGTTTCAGCGAGTACACTGTTATCGACATTGCTAATGTCACAAAGATTGATCCTAGCATCCCCCCCAACCGGGCTTGCCTCCTAACCTGTGGAGTGTCAGCTGGTATGCCCCACAGATTATTTTCGGTTTATATTTTCGGTCTTTGAATTGGAAGCTGAATTTGGAACAGTCTAGATGACTTTATTTCCACACGTTTTCTGTTCAGGATTAGGCGCTGCAATCAGATCAGCGAATGTGGAACCGGGATCAACTGTTGCTATCTTTGGTTTGGGAACAATTGGATTAGCGGTATTCCTGCTGCATTTTGCTAAAACATGAATTTCGGTATGAGTTTCTCGAGGTGTTATAAGAATTATTTAGCAGGTTGCGGAGGGAGCCAGGCTTTGTGGCGCTGCAAGAATTATCGGTGTGGATATAAATCCAGATAAATTTGAGATAGGTGAATACCCTTTCACTTTCTCCTTGGATTGTTATTTTGTGGTTTGATCTTCTTTCTGCTACACATCTAAATTAACATCTATTATTCCTCATTTCCTTCTTGTAGGTAAAACATTTGGGGTTTCCGACTTTGTCAATTCTTTGACTATTGGGAATAAATCAGTAAGCCAGGTAGTTTTTCTGAATCAAAGCATAAGCTGTCAATCCAAAACCTATAGTTAGTAGTGAAGGCGCAACTTTATTTTCTTATACCGCCACATGCGGGCCCACATTTTTGAGAGGCAAGGTGTTGGACTTGGCCCTTCAGGCCCCCGTCAAACAATCCCCTAGCCACCTGGTGCTGGACTTGGCCTATCTATCACCCAACAAAAACTCATCTTTTGTTCACCTGAGCAGGTGATATGTGAGATGACTGGGGGCGGTGCAGACTATTGCTTTGAATGTGCCGGCCAGGCAACATTGATGCAGGAAGCATATGCCAGCTGCCGGAAGGTTTTTCCCCTCCCTTCCTTAACGTTTTACATGTACGTTGATCGGTGAAATTTGGTTCTAATCTCTGTGGCATTCAAATATGATTTCAGGGTTGGGGCAAGACAGTGGTTTTAGGAGTTGATCAGCCCGGAACGCTGAACTTGAACTCTTTTGAGGTTCTTCACAGTGGCAAAACCCTCACCGGGAAGCTGTTCGGAGGTCTCAAGCCAAAATCTGATATCCCCGTCCTTGCTAAGCGTTACACAGATGGGGTAATTTAAGAAAATCTTTTGATCATAATAAGCGTTACGATCCATTCCCAGCTTAATGGTTTTGTATGCTTGGTCTAGTAGACATTTTTGTTCTTACCATAAAACCAACAAGAGATCAGATTGTGTGATTTTGTTTAGTTCTATACTCATCCTTGTTGAGCATGTAATATTATAAATAATAAACGTTTAGCCCAACTATTAGCTTAGCCTTTTAGTTAAAATGGAACATACACATCTTTTAATTATCCTAGTATTGATCCTCGTTTACGTGTGCAGGAACTAGAACTAGATAAATTTGTGACTCATGAAGTGGGTTTTGAAGACATCAACAAAGCTTTTGACTTGCTTATTCAAGGGAAAAGCTTAAGGTGTGTTATTTGGATGGATAAGTGATACTTCTATGGTATCACTATGTGTATCTTACATTGCTCTTTATATGCAATTGCTATATATATTGTGTAAGTAACATATGTAATACCTATGTTTGTGTCTGTTGATTGGCATCGATCAATATCTCTTGCACTAGGTACACACCCAAAATGCTTTGGGGGAAGTTTTGGGTATCAAATCGTTTCGATAGTATTGATACAAACTTAAATATTTTGTATTCATTCTTTTGTTGTGTGCAAAAGACATTGATGCTGATCGGGTTAGTGATTGAACCTCTATAATTTGTATTGCTCTGTGTCATTGAATAAGTTGAAACAATATATTTATTACATGCGTGCATGCAATATGTTTGCATACATATGCCAAGTTATATTTTGAATTGATATATATTTACTCTTTGGGTTGCATTTTACTAGTTTTTACAGTAGTTATTAGCATGTTTTTTCCAACTCAAATGTAAATCATATTGCTCCGAAAGAGTAGTTCAGTGGGTGTAGCATGATTCTCTTACGAAGGTCACAATTAAGTTTGAGACGATTTATTTCTCATGCGTGGGTTGTGAGCTATTATTACACATGAGCGTTTGGCGTGAGATGGGGATAAACTAACTTACCAGACATGGAGGCTGCATGGGGGGAAGACTGGCATGCAAAGAAGTACTTAATTACATCCATCAAGTATTCAAGTATTAAATCATAATATAGAGTTAAGATATCGTTTCATTGGAGATAGTTCTTGTAATGTTAGAAATTGATGCAAAGTGAGGTTAAACACAAGTTAAAACTATCATTTTAGAAGCTAAATCGATTTGAGTTGATATAAAAAAAAAAATAAAATAAGACAAGTAAAACAAAAGATCATGATTTGGTTGATTCAAGCTAAGATGCAAATATTGTACTAAGGATTAGATAATTAAATCGAGACATAGGGTAAGTGAGATGCACATAAGTGTCCAAATACCACTCTCGTAACAATTATACACAATTTCACAACAAATCCTAGAATACCAAAATAATCTCATTTATGCAATACAACTCAAATAAACATCAATAGCAAGAAATCAAACCAAATCTTAGTCTCAAAACACTTAGCTACTCATAATATAACAATAGATACACAATATTAACTCAAAATACTTAGCTACTCATAACATAACAATATATACACGTTATTAAAGAATTAATTGAAAGCATAAATAAAAAGCAAAAGAAAGAGATGAATAAGAAAACTTCTCTATTTAAATCTTGAAATCCTAGATTGCAAAGTGTCTTGAGCTTGGAAATGGAGAGAAACAAGTAATCTACCATAATCTATGCTATTCTAGAGCTAACCCTAACGAGATAAAGAAGGGAAAATGAAAGTTATGTTTTTGGGTGGAAGAAATCTCTTGATGGATACTCGATTGATACCACATAACAAATGTTCAAACTTGACAGTCAGCACTCGGTATGCGGGGCCAGTCAATCTTGGCTCCCTAATTATTCTTCCATAACCTCCAATTAATTAACCATAAACCGCATTATTACCCATAAATCCTCATTATTACTCATTTCCATACTATAAAAGGCCTTAGAACAAAGAAGAGAGTCAATCAACATCCCTTCGGAGGACACAACTATACATGTAAAAAAATTATCTACAAAATAGTGAATTTTGACTAGGCACCGCTCAAAAGGGCCTGTGATTTTTACCTTTCGATTTTCATGTAAAAATACTATTGTGACTCTCTTTCTTTTTTTCTTTCCATTATGTCTATTTTATTTACTCCAATCGGTTATGTTAGCCCACTGAATAACTACCCTAAGTCGTGAAATCAACAATGACGAAGTCTGTTAGGAATGATACAAAAGGCCTCGTGATCTCCACCACAACAACGTCCTCCTTCGTTGCAGTCTGACCATCGGTTTCCCACCATCGAGACTTGCAGAGTTATAGTCGAAAAAATTCTAACGATCAAACAATTAATAGGGAATTAGACGGATATGTCCCATTTATGAAAAAGACTCAATTGCTAATGGAAGGTAACCAATTGCTTTTTACATCCATAATAAATACAATTTAGACTTAATTAAATTTGTATAGTTTGTCTAGTTTCTAGTTTTTTACATTCGTTTACACCCCCCCCCCCAAGTATATGTAATAAAAATCACATTACAATCAGACCTCAAGAACAATTAGTTGAAAAGTCAAGAAGATGAGTGCCCACAAAAATTTATTTTGTATTAAGCACGTGGGAAACCATAGGACCCAACTTCTGTTCATGGTGGATCCCGCCGCCGACAATGCTGCTTTTAATAATTTCATATAAATCCATCATTATCATTTCAACTATATATGATCATAATTTTTGAAACAGAACTTCTCACAAGATATAATACTGTATTAATCAAAATTTCATCCACCAGCTCGTAATAGAGTTGAACCCAACAAATCTAAGAATATTGAATAGATATTAAAAAAATTGTCAACCGTTACGTTTTAAAATATTGAGAAAATGGTCAAATAGGCCACTCAACATTACTCAATAAGTTAATTAGACGGTTAAACTTTCAAATGTTACAATTAAGTCTTTAAACATATTATTTTAGAACATTGAGACTCAACAACTTGTTGGTGACCTATAATTACATGTCAATAGGGTTCTGGCGAGATTCTGACCATATTCCAGAAAAAATACTGGCAAAATGGTCACCAGTGTCGTTTGGTTGCCTTCTCCTTCGTCGGAGAAGGCAAGCAGTTTGGTTGCCTTCTCCGGCGACCCATCTGGTCACCTTCTCTTTCGCCGGAGAAGGCAACCAATCGACACCGACGACCATTTCGCAGGTGTTTTTTTGTCAGAATATGATCAGAATCTTGTCGGATGTTCGCCGGAACCCTAGTGACCTGTAATTATAGGTCACCAACTGATTGTTGAGCCTCAATGCTCTGATCTAAAATAACATATTTAAGCACTTAATAGCAATATTTGAAAGTTTATGAGTTTAATTGATTTCTTAACATGTTAAGGGCCTATTTGATCTTTTTTCTAAAATATTTAATAAAAATTTAGTACAAATAACAAACTTTTACCGCTGTTGAAAAAAAACAAACAAAATGTCAAAATCAAGAACAGAACACAAAAATGACGAAAAGGTGTTAAAGTTATTTTAGTTGAGAGCTTATGTTCACAAAAGCAAAGGCAATAGATGACAGTAACATATAAGAGATACATAATAGTTACCATAATTCCCCCTACGGCTAAGAAAAGCAGAAAAAAAGCATATAATTTTCCACCAATCAGCTCCCACATTTTAAACCCACCCATACGCTCTCACTCACTATATTCTTCATTCATTCCCTTCTCCATATTCTTCTTCGATCCTCTTTCTACTGCTCTGCGGTGACTCAAAGCTCACCGCCCTCCGCCGCACAATGCCGATGGTGACGTCGAACGTAGCGGTGGCGTTAGTGGGCGTGGTAGTACTCTGCTACTTAGCGGCGGCGGCCAAAGCTGAGGACCCCTACAGATATTTCACTTGGAATGTTACTTATGCCACCATTTATCCCCTTGGCGTTCCCCAACAGGTAGCTTTCTCCTTTTTCACTTTTTGAACATTCAAAACCCATAACTTTTGACGTCTGATCTGATACCAAATTAAAACATGTGTTCTATCTCAACTAAAAAGTGTCGATATAAATATCACTTATTATAATGCATATATGTTTGATGTGTTGATAGGGTATTTTGATCAATGGGCAATTCCCAGGGCCTGAAATTGAGTGTGTCACCAATGACAACCTTTTTATCAATGTCTTCAACAGCCTAGATCAGCCTTTCCTTCTTTCTTGGTACGCCCCCCACTTTCTCTCATCTTTATTTACTTTCCTCCTTTCTTCTTTTAGCTAGTATTCATGATTTCACAATTTTATCTACTTATATTTACAAAAATATAATTACACTTTTCTTCTTCCTATTTTAATAAAAATACATCAACATATTACCACCGTAATCGCTCTATTTCATTTTAAAATAAGTTAATCCCACTAACACTTATATTTTCTCTTTTTGGTAATCAACTATTAATTTACTATTCTTGATTTCTTGACTTTTTAAAACCAACTAATTTAAATTTAAAATGTCCACATTTCATTATATAAATAATAATGGTGATGTTTGGTGAAAGAAATGATATTTTAGTCATTTTAAATTGAATTTAATTTATATAAAAAAGTTGAGAAAACAAAAGTAATAGGTCGATGGAATTTAATGCTTTGTGTACTCTTTTTGAGACAAGTATGAGAATCAATAAATGATACTCCGTATATTAGTTATAATGTTATAGTTGGGTGAGACCTATTGAAGAAATGGCTGGCAAATTTATCATTGTAATTCATGAATTATTTTTTTTTAAGAAATTAAAAACACATAACTCAATTATAAATCAAGAATTTTATAGTCTAATGGCACCAAATTGATTTCTTATAGTCTCAGTGAAATTTATGTAAAATAGATTGTATACAATCTTGAATAAACAATTCTATATAAGAAAAGATCAACCGACTTATATAAATAATTTTTTTTTGATATTTGCACAAAATATAAATGACATCACTTATTCATTTGTTTGGCAACTAGTCAACTACCAATAAATGTGAGTATATATATATATATATATATATATATATATATATATATATATATATTAAATCACATTCATTAGGGCAATAATTGGCTAGTACAAAAGGGAACAGTGTGGCATTTGGGCTGGTATAGAATGATGCCTATGGGGTCTGATTGAAATAAGATAGAGACTAATCCATATATAGTGACTGCTCTGCTCTGCTCTTTTCAGAAAATCACATGCCTTTGTAGCCCTGTTGATTGTTCATCCTTGTGGTAGGGTAACCCTTACACATGATTTGCTCATAAAATCTTATGACTTTATACCAACTTGCATTTTACCCTTAAACTTTTTAATCCATCATCTTGATAACATTGTTAGCTTTTCAATCAATTTTGATTTATTTGATTACTATTAACTGTTTGACTTGATTAAACAGTCAATATAAGTGTTTGATTAATAAACTTCTTGTAACAACTTATTGCTCCAAAACGCTAAAATTCAAAAAGCGATTAGCTTTTTGAGAAAGTCATTTTGTATGTAATCATTTATCAGCTAACAGCTAATTTACCAAACATTTTTTTATAATCAACTAATGTTATCAATTAATCAAACCCACTAACACAATCAATTAACAGTTATTTACCAAACATCTCCATTACTTCTAAGAGCATTTTCAAGATGGATTTTTTCCTAAATTTTGTCTTTATGTGGGTGGGAGAGAGTGTGAAGTAAAAGGCATATAAGGTTTGGGTTGGGGGGCAGGGGGGATAAATTTGCAGTTAAGTGGGCGTTTTGTGGGACTTGTTGGGGAGACAGAGAAAACGAAAGACTGTTGGAGTTAGGGTTTTCCAAGCTCGAGTTTGGGCTCTTGGACTCTTTAGATTGGAGTTTAAGCTCTTCAAATTAGCGGAAGTGTGAAGATGAATCCCTTATCTTGCAGAGTCAATGACAGGAACTGATTAAGACACTGCTTGAGCGACTTATGATTTACCTCTTCTAGTGACACTTTGACCCGTACGGGTTCTGAGGACTTAGGATAAACTAACGTTACTTTATCTTTAATTTATTTTGATTTTTTATTTAATACTCGTAATAAAGATTGGGTGATATTGGAAACATGCAGGAATGGAATTCAGAATAGAAGGAATTCATTTGAAGATGGAGTATATGGGACGACATGCCCAATTTTGCCAGGACACAATTTCACCTACATGTTGCAAGTGAAAGATCAAATTGGAAGCTTCTATTATTTCCCCTCTCTTGCATTTCACAAAGCTGCCGGTGGTTTCGGAGGTATTAGGATTCTTAGCCGACCCAGAATCCCTGTCCCCTTCCCGGATCCGGCCGCCGATTGGACCTTCCTCATCGGAGATTGGTACAAAGCCAATCACACGGTACCTACTTCAATTCTCTAATAATGATTTTACCAGAAAATCATATTTTTATTAACCAATTCATATTCATAAGTAGTAGTACAAAGCCAATCACACGGTACCTTTATTAACTAATTCATAAGTAGTAGTGTTTCTTCAATGACAAAAAATAACAAATCAATATCCACACACACCCAGTGGGACTCGAACCCACAGTCGCTTGATTAGAAGTCAAGCGCCTTATCCATTAGGCCATGGGCGCAAATATTAAATATTACTCGTTGGCCTTCTTTGGTAAAAATATGTTTTGCTGATTAAGTACAGTATAAAATGTTGTAGCACAATTTGAAATCTGCTTTACTTCATTTTTTTTATTATATATAATTATATTAATTTATAAATATTAATTATATTTTATTATTTAGAAAATATTATATAATTAACAATTATTTTACATTTTAATAATTATTATATAATTAAATTAATTTTATAAAATATGTCCTTATATAATTATTAATTAACCTCCTTTTACCAAGTTTTTTGTTGAGTGATTTGGTGATTTTGTGGAGTGTCGGTAAGCAAGCAGAGCTAGTCGAACTTTTGACCATTGGATGTACTTTTATTGCTGGGTCGGGTCATTCATAGCTTGCTGTCTCTGAGTTGTGTTCCAACCACTTTAATGGGACCAAATAATAAAAACATTACCTGCTAATTATAACATGTCAGTTCACTTGTCAATTTTTTACACACAAAACTATATATATATATATATATATATATATATATATATATATATATATATATATATATATATATATATATATATAGGAAAATGACATTTTTTCCCCCTGAGTTATATACTTATAGCACTTTTTCCCCCTCAATTATTTAGGTAAGCACATTAGCCCTCTCAATTATTTAAAAAGTGGTGTTTTTTCCCCCTGATATATTAAATTGACATTTCTACCCTTAAAGTAAACATTTTATTTATTTTACTTCTCCAACAAATTATTGCGTATACGTAGGGATGACCACGATTCGGTTTGAACTGAACCGGACACTAAAGCAATTGAATTAAAAGTTTCCGGTTATGATTCAGATCTAGAACCCTATATTTAGATGTCAATTTATTAAAATTATGTATCAAAAAAATTGAATCTTGAACCGTGAACCGGCGGTTCCGGATCCGGTTCGCGATTTTGAACCGTCTTTATTTTAAAATAGTCTAAATTCAACAATAAATGTATTTTATTTTTTCAGTTCGGAACATGAACCGTCCGTTCCGGTTCACGATTTTAATAAACTCTAAATATTGGGTTTCGATTCTAAATTGTAAGTGGAATATTTCAGTTTGGTTGCTATAGTGTTTGTTTGGTTTGAACCAAATTATGGTCATAATTTGTTGGAGAAAAAAATAAATGAAATATTTATTTTAAGGGTAAATATGTCCATTTAACATTTCAAGGGGAAAAACAGTCACTTCAATAATTCAGGGGAAAAAAATGCTATATGTATATAATTCAGGGGGAAAAAGTGCCATTTTCCCATATATATATATATATATATATATATATATATATATATATATATATATATATATATATATATATATATATATAGGGAAGGGTTCAGGTGCGGGTACAGCTTCTCGTGCGGTTGTGCGGTTAGATCTGAGCCGTTGATCAAATCTAAATCAACGACTCAAATCAATGAAAATAAAAAATAAAAAAAAACGCGTGTTTGGAAGAAAGCCACGCACCTTAACTGTTAGATCTTAAGCACAAACTCACGCACATTAAGTACAAAACCCACACACATTAAGTACAAACTCACGTACATTAAGTACAAAATCCACGTACATTGTTGGACAAGAATTCGCACTTTTGGTAGACGCTTTTGGTTTTGATAGACGCTTTTGGTTTTTGTAGACGCTTTTGGTCATTTAGACGTGCTGCATGCTTCTTCATCCAACCACATTAAGCACAATCTCACGCACATTAAGCACAAAACCCACCACTTTAAATATTAACTCACAGACTTTAAGTTTCAACAACTCTGAAGTTAAGCACAAACTCACGCACATTAAGTATAAAACTCACACACATTAAGCACAACCTCACGCACATTAAGTACAAAACCCACTCACTTTAAGTATTAACTCACAGACTTTAAGTTTTAACAACAACTCACGTTAAGCACAACCCCATGCACATTAAGCACGCACCTTACGCACAAAACTCACGCATCTTATATACAAAACTCACACACATTAATCACAGATCCGCTCACCTTAATTTTGACCTAGATGCAAAAATTACAAAATTATCACTGCATCTTTTTTTTAAAATTTTGGCAATCCTGGACGTTGATTTAAGCGAGATGAATGGCCTAGATTAAACCGCACAACCGCACCTGAGCACCCTAACCGCACCAGAACCTAATTGTATGTATGTATGTATCTATGTATGTATGTATGTATGTATGTATGTATGTATGTATGTTCTCATTTTCTACTCTCAATTTTCTCTCACACATAGAACCTTGATGTAGACACTTGTATTGGGACCCACATAAAAAAAAAAAAAAAAAAAGTAACTTATCAAAGTACGCCACATCAAGGAGTAAAATTGAGAGAGTAAGATTTGGGAGTATACGTAGTAAAACTTTATATATTGAAATTGACTAGCAGATATTGACATTTGCTACAAATTAAACATGCAACTCATTAATGTAATTATCATACAAAAATGTTATGGTTTAGGAAGTAGTTTATTGGTAAGCTACATTTATTTTTAAATGTAACAAAAATATTAATAAGGTTTAACTCATATTAAAGATTTTATGTAAAGGGAATCAAACTCTCCTAGAGAGTGGGGATGTACTGTTATTAGTGTTTTGACTAACTAAAATGTCAAACTCTTTGTATTTAGTATTTTTATGAGAAAATATAAAATAAGTTGGTCATAAAACATAGATACAAATAGGGTTTGATGACGTAGGTAGTTGATGAATTTATAATTTTTTTAAGATTAGAGAATCATATTTGTAAGAATTAAAAGAAAGGGATTAGATTTATAATTTAAAATCAATTGATAGACTAAAAATTGTGGATTTCTTTTTCTCTAAAATTCTATATATTGAATTAAGTTCGTGCTGACAAAAAATGTAGATTCCTTGAAACACCAAATGATTACAAGTATTCATAATAGGGTTTAGCCTATGTAGTATAGAAATGTGTTGTGATTTGAGGCTTATTATATAAACGAGTTTACACTGTATATACCCTCAAATAGTGGCTGCGAATCTCTTGTCTATATATACCCTTAAATAGTGACTACTCATTTCTCTTGTCATTATATTAAAAAAAAAAAGGATAATAGGAAATAGAAAATGGGAAATGACAATTTCAAAGAATATGAAAACACAAAATGACACCAATCTATCATAAGTTGAAATAGTAGTAACATTTTGCATAATCTATGATGTTTCCTTTCGAATGATGAAATGATTGATCACTTGAAATGTTTATATACAGACCTTGAAAACAGTACTTGACAATGGGCATAGGTTGCCTCCCCCTGATGGAATCCTTATCAATGGTCGCGGCCCTAATAGCAACTGGTTCACTGTTGAACAAGGTTAGAAAGAAGATTATAACCGCATCTTAACCAATTCAACCGACTCAAATTGGATCTGCTAATCTGAGCTTCAACATGAAACATATATGCATGTTTGTAGGAAAAACATATAGGATCAGAATATCCAATGTGGGACTGGAAAATTCACTCAATTTCCGGATCCAGGGACACACCATGAAGTTGGTCGAGGTGGAAGGAACACACACAATGCAAACAACATTCGCCTCCATAGATGTTCATGTTGGCCAATCCTATTCTTTGCTCTTCACAGCTGATCAGCCTCCTATGGACTACTACATTGCCGTCTCCTCCCGATTCACCGTTGATATCCTCTCTACCACCGCGGTTCTTCACTATAGTAACTCAAACCGCCCCGTCTCTGGCCCACCTCCCGGTGGACCTACCATTCAAATTGACTGGTCTATTAACCAAGCCCGTGCAATCAGGTACTTTCACTCATTGTAAAGTTTTACGATACAATCTCACATCAGTTTCATAAGAGATTGCGAAGTCGTACTTAAATTATGACTAAAACCTCCACTTATGAGTTAGCTTTTGTAGTGACGTATCATTTGGTGTGTTTGTTGAGAGATCAGAGTGGAGTGAGAAAGGGCTACTTAGAAGTATGGGTGTCAAAGTGGACTAAAGAGTAAAGCCGCATGTCAACCCTAAAGCGCCCCGCGGTGGGAATGGTTAGGACTTAAGATTTTTTACCTGCAAAAATTTGGACCTTGCGGGCTTGACCTACACAGGTTGACAAGCTACGCGAATTAGCTCGTGCGGGCTTTGAAGTTGACCCGCGAGCCTGCATGAGGCTGGTAGCCCGTGGGCTTTGTGGGCCAGTTCACAAAGGCCCATGAATATTACATCTTGCAATGAGGCGGGCCAGACTTTATTGATACCCTACCTGAATACCGGCCTTGTGCTTAATAAGGTACAAAGTGAAGCCATCCAAAGGAGAAAAATGTTACTTTGTGCTTGATAAGATCTAGAGTGTGAGCATCTTCTCAAGAGGTGAGCAATGATTCTATTCCACATCGGTTTCACAAGAGATTGTGGCCGAAATGGTAAGTTGGGCTCAAACATCCATTCATGAGTTAGTTTTTGTAATGGAGTTAGGATCTTGATCTGAGTGACATATCATCTTACAATCAATTTTAAATTTTAGTTGAAATGAAATACGTATACGTTATTCACTTTCACCTACCACTTAGACTAATTATTGTCATGGTATGGGATTAGGTCAAATCTTTCAGCAAGTGGACCTAGACCTAACCCGCAAGGTTCATACCATTATGGTATGATACCAACAAGCAAGACTATTAAGCTTGCAAACTCTCCTGGTCAAGTGAATGGCAAGCAAAGATATGCTGTCAACAGTGTATCCTTCATCCCTGCTGATACTCCGCTCAAACTCGCCGACTACTTCAAGATCGGAGGCGTTTTTCGTGCTGGGAGTATATCGGATTTCCCCTATGGTGGTGGCATTTACCAGGATACATCTGTCCTGAATGTTGACTATAGGGCATTTCTTGAAATCATATTTCAAAATGACGAAAACATTGTTCAGAGTTGGCATATTAACGGATACCAGTTCTGGGTTGTTGGGTACGTAAATACTACTTAATCTCAATTATCACAACATATATCTATGTAAGATCATATGTTATGTTTTTTAAGTTGTTGTTTTGGTGTAAAAATGCAGAATGGATGGAGGAGAATGGACACCGGGGAGTAGGAATGAGTATAATCTTCGCGATGCAGTGGCTCGTTCCACTGTTCAAGTGTACCCAAATGCATGGACCGCTGTTTATATGGCACTTGACAATGTTGGAATGTGGAACATTAGGTCCGAGTATTGGGCACGACAATACCTAGGACAACAACTCTACATGAGAGTCTACACGGATTCAACCTCGTTAAGAGATGAATATCCTATCCCAAAGAATGCTCATCTATGTGGCAGGGCAGTCGGCCACCACACACGACCTTCTTATGTTGGAATAACCTCTCCAAATTCTGGTAATTAAGCCAAGAGGACTATCATTCTTCTAGATTACACAGTTTTTTTATTTAAATATGTAATCTTTGCTTTCAATATGTAGTGCTAAATAAGCAACAATGCGGACATAGAATCATGTTATATTTGTATTCTTGATGACCTTATCTCAAGGTTACGTTCTATGACTTCTATTATCCCCTCCTACTAAACATTAAATTTGGTTACATATTGTTTTAAGTTCTGAAATAGTGCAATAATATTGCACAACGAATGAAGTGTATTTGCTCATTTATCCAAAAGGCATTGCATGCTTTAAAGAATAAGTAATTACTAATTGTTACGACACTAGCTAGATAAGACTTTAATAGATTTGAGCAAGTTTTTGACTCCTAATCATATTCGAGTTACAATAAACTACCTCCATTTTTAGAAAAAAAAATAAAAATAAAAAATACTCATGATTTTTTACAAGGTAGTATTTGTTCTATACTTGCTCAAACATTTTCAGCCCAAAGAATCTAAACACTTACAACCGGAGTTTGAACCTATGACCATTCATTTGAAATGATAACCGCTACATGGTAGTTGGCTTAACAACTCCATTTGACAACGCTTTTACAACAATTATACTGTGGCCCGCAGTCCACAAAGCTTTGTGGACCATGGTCCAAAACGGCAGACACTATAGTGTATCTAAACTGACACTGTCTCACGTATTATTTTTATTATATTATATCAAATGAAACTGCAATTGAGTTGAAATGAAACTGTAGTTGCGTTGAAATGAAACTGCAGTGTTTACAAAATGAAACTGAATAACAATTTCACATATTTGAGTGTATATTATCTAGCGAAACTGTAGTTATATCAAAATGATATTGTAATTGTGTTGAAATAAAACTCCAATGCATATTTGATGCCTGAACCACAATGCATTGTGGATCGCGGTCCGCAGTATAATTTGTCTTTCTACATTCGTTATGCTATGGACCCGTGTCCACCATGCATTGTGGACACAGTAACGGTGCCGTTAGTGACACCGTTATCTTCCAGTTTTTTTTTTTATTTAATAATTTCAGACCGCTTCGTTATAGGAATATATGTTTATAATTTTGTCACTATATGTTCATAATTGTAAGTTCATAATGTCAGAGCTCTGTGTTCATAATTCCATAACTGTACATTCATACTTCCATAACTGTACATTCATAATTCCGTAACTGTACATTCATAATTCAATAACTGTAAATTCATAATTTTTGAAGCTCTATGTTCACAATTTTAGAGCTCTATGTTCATAATTTTATCACTATATGTTCATAATTGTAAGTTCATAATGTCAGAGCTCTGTGTTCATAATTTCATAACTGTACATTCATAATTCCATAACTGTACATTCATAATTCAATAACTGTAAATTCATAATTTTCGAAGCTCTATGTTCACAATTTTAGAGCTATATGTTCATAATTTTATCACTATATGTTCATAATTGTAAGTTCATAATGTCAGAGCTTTGTGTTCATAATTCCATAATTCCATAACTGTACATTCATAATTCCACAAACGAATAATGCCGTTAACGACGAGACAAAATCAATTTTTTTTTTTAAACTGGAATGCCACGTTTTCCCTAAAAACGACGTCGTTTTGGACTTGTGTCCACAATGCATTGTGATTGTGGACACGAGTCCACAGAATAATTTGCGGCGCGAGAGATAACATGACAAATTATACTATTGCAAATTATTCCAATGTGAATTCAGATCTAAATGTTCACAATTTACCTTTTACAAATTTACAATTTGTATACTACGAACACACAATGTTAACATATATGTAATTGATTACCTTGTTTTGCATTCACAAGTTCCTTTCAAATATTGCAGTCACACAATATTAACATATTAGGAGTTGATGACCTTGTATTGTATTCACAAATTCTCTTCTACAGTTGTTATGTGTTTTGACTTATAAACACAATTTATATTCTAGAAGTTCACAATTCCAATACTAAAAATACATAATTTATACGTCATTTAGGACCATGGTCCACCTTGCAATGTAGACCCTAGTCCATGGTATAACAACTCTTATACTATTGATCATGGTCTACACTATAATGTTAATCATTGATAGATATTTACTTTTAATATACTAAAAGATTATTTTTAAGTTGTATACCAAAAAAAAAAAAATTAACATTCAATATATTAAAAAGGGAAAAATGGTCAAATAGGCCATGAACTTCATCAAAAAGTTAATTAGGCCCTTAAACTTTTAAAAGTCACAATTAAATCCATAAAGATACTATTTTAGAGTATTGAAGTCCATAAACCGGTTAGTGACTTGCAATTGCAGGTCACTAGGATTCCGACGTACTTTCGACCAAACTCCGGCGAAAAACACCGACAACCGACCCAATCGCGTTGACCTTCTCTCGCAAAAGAGAAGGCAGACCAACTGGTTTTCCTTCTCCGGTCCAAGGAGAATGGCAACCTTATTGATCGCCTTCTTCGACGAAGGGATCGAAAGGTGACCAGTTTGGTCGCCTTCTCCTTCAACTTTAGAACGCGACCAAACTGGTCGCCTTCTCCTTCGCGGGAGAAGGTAGAGAATTCGACCAGCGACCATAGTTGTATATTTATAGCAATAATATATTATTTGAATTGAAATTTTATAATTATTAATTTTTAATTTAAAAATAAATTATAATAATTATAATTACAATTATAATTTTTAGAAGGATAATAAATAAAAAATAATTAGAATATGATTTTTGTAAATTGGTAAGTTAACAAAAACTTGAAAAAAAAATTGTAAACTATTAGAAAGAAGAATTTTCTACATTGAGTGAGATACTAGAGGATGATGTGTATGCTATGGCCTATAAAAAATTAAAGAAAAAACTTCAACTTGTCTGGTTGCTCTAAAAATGACCCACTTAATAAGATAAACCATAATCCAGGTATAATGCTTGATTTTAGTGGTAAAACAAAAGTTTTTTATAAGAACAATCACATTTGTGATTTTTGTGAGGTTTTTGCAGCAAAAATAAAATTAATAAAAAATGGAGAGATGGTTTGTTAACAAATGAGAAGTTAGATTTTTGTGTGATTTTTTCTCTTACAAAAACACCTCTCTTTTTTTTTTAGGAGAAAAAAGAAAAAAAAAAAAAAAAAAGAGAAAGAGATTACCTGCGCTTAAAGCGCACAGTGTGCCCCAACGGGCGCATGTTTTCCACGCGCCCGCTGGGACGCTTCATAGTGATCGGTGGACATTGACTCTGAATTCTATTTTTTTGTTTATATATATATATATATATATATATATATATATATATATATATATATATATATATAATTTTGCCAATCTTTTATTTTATTTCTTCTTTTTTTTTTGGTAAACTTTTTTTCAATTTAAATTTGTTGTTTATTTTTTTTTAAATTATGCAATGTAAATGTAGTATATAATTTTAATTTTATAATTATCATTTCAATTAAATATAGGTATTCTATTTTAATTAATTAAATTTTATTATAATTATAAAATTAAAATTAAAATAAATAAATAAAAATAATTAAAATATAGTAGAGTAAGATGGTGAGTCCACTAGAAAAAATTTAAGACTAATGATGAGAGATTTTGAAATTGAATGAGATAGTTGATATTGGAACCCATAAAAAAAATTAGGCATCACTAATGAAGTTGTTCTAAGTGGAAGTTTTTATTTTTTATTTTACTTGCACGTATCGCCGAACAAGTCAGAAACAGTTGAATCACATTGACGTACGCAATATTGCAGGTATTCCCGATTTCCCGCACGCTTTTTGAGTGGAATACTTGATAAACCTCCAAAACCCCGAGCCGTAAAGAGAAACCTACCCAAAATCGTAGATTCCGGCGATGGCCAGTGACGAGAGCGAGCAGCAGGTTATCACAGACAACGGAGAAACGCTAATTAGTTCTACTATAATCGCCGAGGACGACAAGGACAAGGATGTTCTGAAGCTTATTAGCGATGCTGTTCGGGAAGTACCTGCGAACGCCATCAAGGACTTGTGGTCCATTGGGGTTCGTTCTCTTCAACCTCTCTCAATCACGGTTTTTGTTGATTCAATTTATTGTTTCAATTTGAGTTTTGAAAGTATAATCTTTTGCTTTAGTTTATGAGCTCACGTTTATCTTCAATATCTTTTCCAATCTATTGTTTAAAATATGTTATTTTGAAACATTATAATGTTTGATGTAAAGGCAGCTAGTTGAGCATTCAAGTGAGTTGAGTTAATGAATCTCATTAATTGAACATTTTTGAAGTGTGGTCTTATATTGAAGGTTTTAAAGTTTCTTCTCTTCTGGTGCAGGTGTGTGCACGCTGTATCTTTCGAGTGTTGGGCCTTCATGAGCTGATTTGTTCTCACCCTTCACTCTCATATTCGGTGTTAATAACTGTTTTAGGAGTAGTGAGAATTGAAGGAGGTGATGGGGTTGATAGTTCTGCCAAACATGAGCTGTTAAATATACAGGAATTAACTACAGAAGCAAATGTTTGCAAAATCTGTTTAGGTGTTTTGCAATTTGTGTTTTCTGATGAGAATGGAACTTTGTTGAAGAAGGATAGTGCATATGACTTTGCTTCTAAAATCGCTGAACTTGTAAAGCAACAGCAACATCATCAAATTGGTAGTTTTTCTCTTGAAGTCTCACTACCTCCACTTGTAACTGAAAATGATCAGGCAATTTGGTGAGTTCCCTTTTGATTAATATCCTCAGAATTTCTGTAATCTTGTCTAAACTTGGTTTTAGTACACTTCTTAGTTGATTTGTTTTATCTGGGTGGAGATTGAAGAGGGGGATAGTGACGCTTCATAATTTGGTTTGCAAGTTCTGTTTATTTGTTACAATCTACTGGTGCTAGTCTTGGGTCCTCCCCATAATCTGATGTTTTCTAATAGATATGCTATAATTGTCTCCATTTAATATTGGTCTTATGTGTTTTTTTATCATTAACTTGCATAAGTGTCATCTGCTTGTCTACATTCATGTGATATCACTATGATAGAGTGAGAGAGAATGTAACAGGTGATACATATTTCTCTTCCAGGCTTTATGTCCAAAAGAAGTATGAATCTGAGCTTTGGTTCCAACAAAAGGCTGCATCTCAGTGCTTTTCTACTAAAGATGTCTTGAAATTGTTAGTAATAAAGCCTCTACAAACATTATTGGTAAATTTCTCCTTCATACTGTATTTTGATATTCTTAGAAACTTTTATTTGTAAATTAGAATTTGTTATTGTGGCAATATCATACATGTGAATGAGTATCTTAGAAGTCATAAGTTCATTTCTTGAACATGTTGATTTTAGACTAAAGGAGTATAGATGGGGAAGGGGCCACAAAAGCAGCCTCCCAAAAAGAGCCCTGTTGTGTTAGTGTTAGGGTTAGGGTGGATATATATAACTTATTTTTTCTTGAGCAGCTATATGTTGAAAAGTCTAGTGTCTGACCAACTTTTTGAATCACTGTAGGGTCTAAAACATATGGAAAGCACTTTCCATATTCGACTGACATATTCTGGCTCATTAAGACAACAGAATGCTAACGAAAGAAATGTAGGTAACAAGAGGAGGAAAACAGATTCTGCTTATACTCAGTCTGTTGATATTCAAAAGGTTGAAGGAGAAGCATTCACCAGAACTTCGTCATTGAAGTCACAAAAAGATTGCTTTGATTATGTAAAACTTCTAATAGAGAAGGTAGTTTTACAGCTTTATGCATTTCTTCCACCATACTCATTGAGTCATTGTGAGCTTGAATGCAAATTACTACTAATCACTATTTTGGAAGAACTTGGCTCATTGGCTGCTTCTTAAATCATGTGAATTGTCTACTGTTCTAGGTCATTCAACCTTGCCACTTGACAACTCAATGCTATAGGAATCCCATCTACATTGGGGGGAGGTACCTTAAGGTGTGTGATATCCTCCTTTGAAAGCTTGTATTTAGTTAACATACTCTCATGAAATATTTGCAATATATGTATGGATTGCCATTATTCTCTCACGTATAATTATAACTTCCTTTTCCATGGATGATACATCAATACATTATCATCCGTTATAACTTCAACCAATTACTTCTGAATTGATACCAATTTTGGTCCTAAGAATCATAGTGGCATATTCAATTCTATTCATCTATTATCAATTTGACCAAATTTATTTCCTTGACTTTTTGAATTGACCAAATTTAGTCCAAAATGTCTGAAATACGACATTATATGGCATTTTGGATTGAGTTTGGTCAATTAAAAAAGTTAGAGGACTAAATTTGGTCAAATTAATGATCAATGACTAGAAGTGGAAATGACACTATAGTCAAAAGGACTAAAAGTGTTATTAACTCAATTACTTATGCTTGTAACTTCCCTATGTGATGTCAAATGAACATCTTGCTCACTGCAGTACTCAAGAAATGTTAGCCAGACTCGATGGGTTATTGATGATGAAAGAATGGGTGAAGCATCTGTTGAGGTACCACAATTCTCTTCTGGTAATTCTCATTTTCTAAAAGTTACTTTTGAAGTGTGTGATTGGGAACAATTGACACTAATAATAGCTTACTTCTCAAGGAAATATTAGGTGGATGCATTCTTCCATTGTGTCAGGGTGATGGGTACAAGTTTCACGCTGCTGGTAGGGAGGATATTGATGTAAGAATATTTTCCGTAAGTTAAAGTGGCAATTGGATAATAGTATTCAGATCTGGAACAAATCTTTTGCTTTGTTCCTCAGGTTCGGATGTTGGGTACAGGCCGTCCTTTCCTGGTTGAGATACAAAATGCACGACAAGTTCCTTCTGAGGGGTTCATAAAAGATATAGAGATCAAAATAAATAGCTTAGAAAATCAACTTGTAAGTTAATAATGGATTATCCTATTCTCTCTCTCTCTCTCTCTCTTTTTTATTAATTCTTTTTGGGGGAAGGGGAAGTGCTGGGATAGGGAGATGAGGTGGGGTAAGGGGTGGCATCATGTATGTGTGTGTATTCGTTCATGATTTGGATTTACTACATGATGTGCATACAGGTAAAGGTCAGGAATCTTAAAAGTTTAGGCAGCCAAGGGTGGGCAATGATAAATGAAGGAGAAGCAGAGAAGCAGGTATGTTCCAAGCTTTGGAAACCGAATTGCTCATTGTGATTTTATCAACAAATTTTGTTCTTTGGTTGCACACAGAAGCAATATTCTGCATTGGTTTGGATTTCTCGTGATGTCAACAATGAAGATTTGCAGACTATATCATCAGTGAAGGACATGGTGTGTTTGGTTGACCTTGTCTTTAATATATAGACTTATAAAATGGATTGATGGCATTGTGGGTTTTACAATATTTCACGCATAATTATATTAATGTGGTTGACATGCTTGGCACAATCGCTATTCAGGATTTAAATAAATTTCATCACTTGAGCTCTTGCATGTCAACATTTTTTCTCAGCATTAAATAAAGTTGTTCTTTCAAGTTGGACTGATATCTATAATATGGTTTTCATTCAACAAAATTTTTCTGTTTGCCTTTTCAGAAAATTATTCAGAAAACACCAATCAGGGTTCTCCATCGTCGAAGTCCTATGGAGCGAGAAAAGATCATACATTGGTATTAATTATTTCAAGTGACAAATTATGATGTGAAGTTACATCAACCATGTCTGATTACTTCAGTCTCCTGTTGCCTGTTGCAGGATGAAATTAGAGAGGCTTGAGGGAAGTTCTCAGTATTTTCTTTTGCATCTATGCACACAGGTTCTTTTTCTCCTTTTCTTTTTTGTTTTATTTTATTATGTGTTTGTTAATTTGAAGGGTATCAACACGCAAATATGCAATGCATTATGTGACGAAGTGGTGTATCTTTAACACCATGTAGTGTTTTCTTGATTATTGGTTAGTGGAGTATAACGTAATGAAGGTTATGCATATCAGGCTGGGACATATATTAAGGAATTTGTTCATGGAGATCTCGGGCGCACCAATCCCAGGTATTAAATTGTTCCAACCATATGACAAGCCTGACAAATTAATCTCATTTATATTTCGACATTTAGGCTTTTTTTTTGTTCAGAATATCATCCGTGGAAAAAACTTAAATAAGAAAATGTCAAAATTGTAATTGATGTTGTATTTTGCAGTATTGGGTCAATGCTTGGATGTAGAGCAGAGATATTGCAACTTGATGTCACAGACGTGAAAATGGACTGCTTCTAGACTGAAACCCGATTGTTTCTTCCTTGACAACATGAAACACGTATCCCTCTAGTGCAAAGGAATGCTTGAAAGGGTATATTAATGAATCAAGAATAAACTTCAGAATTCTTGCTGGGGTTTATTTAATTTTTCATCATAGAGGAGTAATATCCGATTAAACTTTATCCTTTGAGTCTTCTAACTCAGGCAGTAGGATGTTTATTTGTAGTAGTTATTTCTCTTTCTATTGTTTTCTTTCAACGAAAAATGTTATTTCTCGAACCTCTAGTTTGGATCGCTCTTATATTGGTTTGATTTTTTGCACTTGTAATCACCTCATTAAAATATAATTAGTGGCTGTTGCATAAATATGGGTATATCTTAATACTCTATAATATGTCATTACCCGTGGTAAGTTCAAAAAATAAATTGAGTTTGACCGGAAATCAAATAAATTTTTGATATTTTATCATAGATGTCTCATAATTTAAAAATAACGTTGTAAAATCTTTCTGTTCATGTTGTACTATTTAGACTTTGAGCAATAAAAAATTAAGGTTAATTTTTATTTGTATAAGAGAGATTTATCCTCTTCACTATGTGTCTTGTTACATATGTGATGGAGTTTAAGTGATATACTTCCCACTACAAAGAACTTGATTATAAAGAGAGTGGAGATTGATCCGACTTGTGCCATGTGTGGGATCATGCATGAGAGTACTATGCACTCTCTAGTTAGATGTGATTATACAAGGGCCATTTGGGCTCAATCCTACCTTCCAATCTCCAATAGTGTGACAAATATTTTTCATGCTTGGTTTAGTGAATTATTGAATGTTCTAGATGATAATGAGATTATTTATGTAGCTGCGCTACTATACTATATATGGCAAGCAAGAAATGGGGCTGTATGGGATGCATGTTTACCGAGACCACGAAAAATTGTTACTGTAGCCTCCTCAGCTGTACATTCATGGCGGCTGGTGCACCCCGACCGGAATCATCTTGTGGCCGAACACACTGGTAGACTGAACGCCACAATTATGGCCCCAACCCAGGATGTCACTGCCACACTACTCGATGCTACGATCGCCGCTCCAGCTGCATCACGAAGCCACCCTACTGCTGTGTTACCGAACCGGAGCGTAGCAGCCTCACGGACGGTCACATCCCAGATTGGCCCTGCTGCAGTACGGAATCGGTGCCACTTCGACGCCGCTTTTTGTCACGAGACAAACAGGGCAGTCGTTGGGGCGATTCTCCTCGACGGACAAGGAAGATATATCTCAGCTCTTTTTGCACTTATGCTAGACTGCTTCTCCCTGCTTATGGCAGAGGCGTTCGCATGCAAAGAAATCTTGTCTTGGTTATGGGACCGTGGGGAACGATCTGTCGAACTCTTCACGGATTGCTTAACGCTTCAAGAGTATCTATCATCTGCGACTAGTTCGCCTCGCTCGTATCTTGGCTATGCTATTGATAACTGCAGAATTCGTATGGCTTCTTTTGATTATTGTTCACTTCAATTTGTTCCTAGATCAGATAATTACTTAGCTCATACTTTAACATCTACTGCTTTTATTCAGTCAACTACTATGTATTCGGACTCTGGCCCGCCAGACTCTATTTCAGCATATTTTCAATAAATGCCGCATAGGCTCCTTTCAAAAAAAATACTACGGAGTATATAGTAATATAGTATCCCTTTGTGTTGATCAAATATCAATTTGATTCTTCCTCTTATGGGATTGGATATTCAGCAAATATGTCAGACGACCAAATTTTACTGAACTTGTCAAAATAAATAAATGTCTAAATTTGTCAAATACTTTGTGATTAAGTAATATGAAGTGACTCTCCCAATTACGAGGTCATGAGTTCGAGCCTTAGTGGGGTGGTATTGACTCGTTGGGCTTCAGTAAGTTGAGAAAGTATATGAATAGATACAATCTGTAACGAGCAGTAAGGAAAATGTGCTGTGTAATTAAATGTAGATAATTTGTATTTTATGCTTATTTTTGTGTATACATACAAATTCGTATTTTTTTCAATATGTTTTTTTTTCCCTAAAGTTGTTAACACTATTACAAAACGTATTTTTTTGTGATCTAGTTGTACGAAGTAACTCTCCTATATGAGAGGTCATGTATTCGAGCCTCAGTGGAGGCGGTATTGACTATTTGTGCTTCAGTAGGTTGATAAAGTAGTTAGAAACAATACTATGTATAGTACTATATATATACATTGTACTTATATTCTTATACATTTGTACTTTTTTTTTTTTAAATGCCACATTTCTTCTTTGTTCATGATGCATGCATTAATTATTTATATTATTGTTATCCGTTGTAATAATATAATTTGACCATTCATGTCATATGTCATTTAATTTTGAGTAGGTATAGTATATAATACATGAATATAATGAAGATGTTACTATGTTAGACGAACAAAGTTGACTGTATCTGTTAAGGCAGATAGAATCAAAGCATGCTAAACTAACGGCGGCGCAACCAATTAATGTAACTTCCTGGAAAACACCTATAACAGCTCTCATCTATCTATCTATCTCCACCTTTATATATATAGAGAGAGAGAGAGAAAGAGGGAGAGAGAGAGATCGAAATGAGATCCATAACGAGGTTGTGTTCGGTGATGCACAGACTCATCTCCGTTTTCTTCTCCGCATGGCTCCCCCATGCTTTGAAGATCACACTACTCTCCGCCATTCTGGCCGTGAGCGCCGCCGCACATGCGATCACGGACTACAAATACAACGCCATGATCAAGAAGAGGACTTCCAGGTTCGTTTACTACCGCCACAAGAGCCACTACTACTACTACTTCTCGCGGCGGCGGCCGCCGTCCTCGGCGGAGGCGCTGGAGTGCGCGATTTGCATAACGGAGTTCTCGGACGGGGAGGCGGGGATGGAGCTGGAGAGGTGCGGGCACAGGTTCCACGCGGGGTGCATGGAGAAGTGGATGGCGCATGGGACAGGGCAGGCGAACTGCCCCCTCTGCCGGGCTCCGGTGGCAAGGGAAGGCGCAGTGGAAGAGCACCGGAAAGTGAAGAGTGAAGGGCGGCTGCTGAGCAACGCGTTCCGGGAAGAGTTGGGGCTTCTTTTGCTTTCGGGGTTGAGAGGCGTAAGTTGCTGTCAGGGACACAATACAGCGGACTGCAAGTTGACTAGTTGCAGGAATTGGTAGCATTATATTGCTCCGATCCAGCTAGGAATCATTAAATTTGTGGGGTTATTACATTGTTTCAAGATTGGCGATTAGTGGATGATTTTCCATGCGTTAGATAGGGTTTGTTAGTTGAAGTCTTGAATAGTGAGTAGTCAACAATGGCAGGGTGGCTGCTGGTAGTGATATATATTTAAGTTATAAAATTGATTTGTATATATAATTCATTAAATGAAATCACATACATTTGGTCAACTTTATGATGGTATATGCATGTTAAGATCTAGCAATATATCGGCCTGTTTGGTAAAATATTAGCCTATCAGTCAATTTTGATTTATTTGATCATTATTAATTGTTTGACTAAGTTAAAAATCAACTCCAAAATGTTAAAATTCAAAAAGTTGCTCCAAGTAATTTTTACAATTAACTTTTTGCGAAAAGAAATTATACGAAACAGCTATCAGCTAACAGTTAATTTACCAAACATTTTTCTGCAATCATTTAATATTATCAACTAGTTATACCCTCTAATTAATCCAATCAGCTAACAGCTAACAGCTAATAGCCATTTACCAAACAGGACCATAGTATATATTCAACTCCTTACATGCATATTAACTATGAATTAGTCACCTAATAATTAAAACCCCATCCGATCCCATTTTGTCCCTAGTTTAGTTAACGAAATTTGATTGGAGTTATTTACCTACCATTCAATTTTTTTTCATAATATTAAATTTAATATTAGAGTTAAAATTTATATATTTAGAAATTACATTACAAGTATTATTAATTAAATATAAAATAATAATAATAATAATAATAATAATAATAATAATAATAATAATAATACCAGTAAAGGTGAATAATAAACAAGACGATATCATAATATTTAGTTTTAATTTGTTAGTTGTAGATACAAGTATAGTTTCTTCTGGTGTAGTTCAAATTTGTAGTTGGCGGCTCAAGCACATAAATATGATTCCATGGAATTACACTCCGTCAAGTTAGTCAAGTTGTTAATTTAATAAACACAATGTTACAAATTCAACTTTCAGCAAGAGTTGTCTTTTGACCTTCTTAATTTGAACTAATTAGTTATGAACAACTTAGATTGGTTTATTTACTTGTGATCCTTTACAAATTATAATCACAAGATATTATTTACTCAATACACACTAATAGTGGCTATAAATTTTCTCCTTACTCAAATGATTCCATGGCTCTTGTATAGGATGTTAAGTCTTCTATTTCCCACGTTTTGAGGTAGGTAAATTTGGTAGAGAATAGGCTTGAATTTTGTAGTGTAGAATTAGTCTCTAAATTATTAAAAATATAAAATTGGTCCTTCAATTTTCACCTAATTGACCTTTTCTTTTTTTGAGTACATACTATCGACTCTGGAGCGTTATGTTGTGCAACCGTGTGCATTATGGTGCACATAATTACAAAAACGACGTCGTTTTGACGTTCGATTTAAAAAAAATTAGAATTGCATAACTACACATCCATAACTTCATAACTATACATCCAGAATTGCATACTACACATAAACTTTATAACTATAAATCCAGAATTGCATAACTACACATCCATAACTTCATAACTATACATTCAGAATGTGAAATTATAACTTCATAACTATACATTCAAAATTGCATGCATAATTACACATCCATAACTTCATAACTATACATTCAGAATTGCATTCATAATTACACATCCATAACTTCATAACTATAAATCCAGAATTGCATAACTATACATCCATAATTTCATACTATAAATCCAGAATGTGAAATTATAAAATTATGAACATATGTTTACGTAACTAACGATAATCGAAAATGATTTTTTTTATTTAAGTAAAACGACGCCGTTTTTGCATCTGTGTGCTACCATGCATGGTGTACACGGATGCATAACATAATTTGCCATCGACTCTATTACAATTTAGTATCTGTTTAATATACTTTTCCTATCAATTGTAGCCTAAAGAGTCAATATCTCACAATCAGAGTTCAATCTTTTGACCTTCCCTTAAGAAAAATCACATAAGTACCAATTGAGCACAAAGTGCTTGGCCCTAAATGAGCTTTTTAGTTTCACCTCTAACAATTTTTTTCAAGGCGTGAGTCCTAATTTGATGTTATTTTTTGTCTTTCGCATAACATTCTTTTTCTTACAAAATGTTTTGACCTAAACATTGCATTCTTAGCTTAAAAAGTCCAAGAACCAATCCAAGATTGAACTACTTCTTAGATTGATTCTTGCAATTTTTTTAGTTGAGAATGAAGTGGGTTGGTCAAAATAATATTTTTTAGAAGGAAAAAAAAAACTATGCAAATGACAATAAAGATATAGTTGAAGTGGACCTCACACTCTGTGTTAATCAATTATTAATTTTGGTTATATGAGAATAAATTACATCCAAATAACATGAGACTTATACCAACACTATAAAAGATTGGATTATAAGATAATTAACAATTTTATTTAAAGAAAATTAAATATTAACTTTGAAGGCTCATATTTGATATGAAATTAAACAAAACACATTGATATATGAAAATTGTCCTGCCCAAATGTCTCAGTCAACAATTAAGGAAATAGGCAAATGGGAAGAGTTAGCTATGTGAGCAATAATCACCATATGTGTGTAACTGTGTAAGAGAGAATAATGATAAATAGAAAATCATCATCATATATTAAAAGCAAAACAATAGTTTCGAAATAATAACTCAAAAATATTAAAATTATCAAAATTAAATTTTAAATGAACTTTATAAATTCTTAGTTTGGATATGGTTTTAGTTATGATATATACAGATATAAATTTAATACAAATATAAAATGTAAAAATCTTACATATGTTAAACTTAAAATTAAAAATTATATTCATTTCATTTAAATTAAAATATCCAAAAATATTTTAAATACAAAGTAAAAAAATTACTCAAAATTAAACTTGGATTAATTTTACAATGTTAGTCTAAAAAATTAAATTTGAAATAATAAGTGTTAGTAAACAAATTTTCTAAACAGAAAAACAAAAAAATAAAATCAAAAAACAAAAAACAGATGACTGTTTTTGAAGTAAACAACCCTTCCTTAATTTGTATTACATGATGTGTTACTTATTTGAAAGTTTCAAAAAAAAAACTTGTTAAATATTTAGGTAATTGAAGATTTCAGCTTGTGAGCAGTGGATAGACTTTCCTCCTAAATGACCAATTTAAGCCATGGATATTGTGATTTGTGGTTTATCATTTATCAACAAGGTATCATGTTTATCTTAAAGCGCAATTAAGGGGCAGTTTTCCCCAACCAAATATATAAATGAGAAGCTAATCACAATTAAAACATAATCTCTCCTCAACACCTCAAGAAACTGCTATAAACTCAATTCTTTAGAAGAATTAGTACTTGTGAAAGAAGTTTTACTAGTTCTTGTTCTATTGGTCATACATCTACTCGATCCAGGTTGCACCCATCACCTTAGCCATGAAGGCATACCGGTCTACAGCTTCATCAATCTGCACCCGAGACGAGATACATACACACAGTAAATCATCATATCTCAACTATATAGGAAAACTTCAAACTAGGAGAAAAATAGAATAGATGATCGAGTAAAACGGTTTACCATTTTCTGCGTTGGGAGTCCAGCTCCATGTCCAGCTTTACGTTCTATCCGACCAATAATGGGGTTAACCTGGGGGCTTTTCTCCGGGCTTGTACATAACACGTATTGCATGGTCTGGAAAACAAATTGTACGTACTAGGTCAACTTCCATTTTCGAAAAAAAAAAAAAAAAAAAACTTGGAAACAGAAGAATTCACACACCGCCAATAATTTCAATGTGTGTAATGGCACAACCCTATCGTCATGATCAGCTGTCAATAGCATGGTCGATGGGTATTGAGAAGCTTTACTGGAAGTTTGTTCCCATGGTCTTTTCACATTATGTAGTGGTGAGTACCTGAGGAGAAGATAGGAAAGGAATACACGACAATCTTTAATTTCAAGTAATAGGAATGGGCAAAAATATGAAAGTTTATGAAGAAACATCTCAAAATAAATAATAACAATAATCTCACTAAACCCCTGACGTTTCAAATAATAACACTTGGACCCTCTGGGGTTTGAAAATTTATACTAAAATCCCTTGAGCTTTAATTTAATTACTCATTTCCCACAAGTCAGGGCCAAAAAGACACAAGTGCTATTCCTATTTTACCCTTCTATTACTCACCAAAACACCACTACTACTACATTAAATTAAACAATTCCAAGATAACACTTTAAAAATTTAAAAATCTTTTAATTATATCTCTTTTTCCTATTATCTTTTCTACTGTTATTCAAGAGTATTGATTGTGCTTCAAGCGAAGCTCAAAAGATATAAATGTTTTTTTTTTTTAATTTTAAAAACTTACTAATGACATTTAAAAAATTTTCCAAAAAGAATTATATGTTTTCTCCAAATTTACTAATGTTGAGAAGGATTAAGACTTAACTTCTTTGTAAAACTTTAAATTAATATTAAAATTATTTTGTTGAAAAAGTTTTCCCGTCACTTTGTAACAATAACAATACTACAATAGTAATAATAGACAATCACAAAATATAGCAAGATAACTAACTTGAACAGCCAATGAAATTCTTCCTCCTTCTCTGAACACCCATAGTCAGATGTCCATGCATGGCCTGGAAAAAAAAAATGTAAATAACAAAATGGAAATGTAACACAATAGTAATAATAATAATAATAATAATAATAATTAATAATAATTTATGTTGGGGGAGCCTGACCATATTTGCATTAGAAGTCTGAAGCCTAGTTTGGCCATTTTCTCCATAAAAATAAAAAATAAAAAATAAAAAACTTCACTCACCAATCGTAAACTTGTGAAACCTAAGCATATCCATAACACCAACATGTGCAAGAGCACAGCCGAAAAGATCAGGTCTCTGTAACAATCATATTTCAAGATCGCAATTAATTTATTAGTCACTCATTCTGCAGAAATGTGGAGAAAGCAAAATTGATGTAACATACCTGATTGATGCAAGCCCCAATTAGAAGCCCACCATTGCTTCCACCTTCAATGCACAGCTTGCTAGGTTGGGTGTAACCAGTGCTAACAAGATACTCGGCAGCAGAAATGAAATCATCAAAGCAGTTTTGCTTTTTTGCAAGAGCACCAGCTTTATGCCATTCTTCTCCGTATTCCCCTCCACCACGAATATTTGCTATGCAGAAAACAACACCTAAATGCTTTGCAATCACTAGCCGGGGAACAGAAAAGTATGGGGTAATGTTTATGTTAAATCCACCATATCCATACAGTAAACAAGGGTGTGATCCATCCAAAGATATATCTTTTCCGGCTACTATAAACATAGGTATTCGAGTACCATCTTTACTGGGCACAAAAACCTATAGGGAAAAAAAAAAAAAAAAAAGGATTACACCAGACAGAAAAGTTTCATGAAATATTCTCGTCTGCTTTAATGCTAAGAAAGAAGCATCTGTTAACACTCAAAGGGTAGTAATATAAAAGCACAACCAAGAGAAAACCACTCACCTGATTGACATGGAATTGTGTCCGATCAAAGCCAGGGACAACTATTTCACGGAATATTTTCATTTCTGGAGCACTAGCTTGAAGGTTACACTGATAGATAATCCCAGGGACAAGGAAGTTTGTAAAGCCAATAAAAATTATGCTGTCTTTGCGGCGAGCAGAAATTCCAGACACCGTTCCAATATCAATAGGCAAATGGTGCTCTAGGATACCTGTATCTAGATTTCTCAACTGTAAAACATTTTTCACATCACTCAAATAACTTACAACCAGTTGATTCTTATTCACAGCTACTGCAGATTCAAGCACATCTCTTTCATCCTCTTGGATCACATCACACCAAGAACCAGATTCTTTAACATCCACCCTAACTAATTTATACTTTGGAGCATCCTTATTAGAAAGAAAAGTGAAGACAGTGTCATCATTGGCAACGAACTCATAAGAGGCATCAAATGTATCGATGAGCTTGATAAAAGGTAGCATCTCATTTGTCCCTTTATAGCATTCAAGCCCGTTTGGCAGTGCAGATAAGTCACAGTAGTAGACTTTGTTTACAGGATCGCAGTTCTCAAAAATAGATTGAAGTACATACTGCAGAAGAAAAATATTGAAACAAGGTCATAATTTTTAGATTCTAACAAAATAAATGAAGAATTGGCATACTATCATTAACAGTAAGAAAGAAATATCTTTAGGCCAAGTTCAAAAAAAAAAGTGTGATTCTTCAGTATCAGGCCACTAACTTAGCTCAACTCAACTAAACTTTGATTACAATATAGTTATAAACATTCCGCTATGCCAAACTAAAATAATAGAATTAGAGTCCCAATTTTAGCCTGATTACAAAACAGTAAAATACTTTTTCAAGCAACAACCCATAGAGCATTCCACCTCTCTCGCTTTATTTTGTTGCATGATATTACAAGGAAACATGAAATACAGATTAATATGTATTTCAAGCATCCTTAGAAAAGAAATACTCCATATCTCTTTTGACCATGTCCTAAGAAAAGAATTATGTAAAAGTTAGGGAAAGAGCTTTTTAGGCCCCTGAGTTATAAGTTAATAGTGAAATCAATCCCTAATATTTAGCCAAAATGCATATGTTTTCCCTGAGTTGTCACACTTATAATTAATCCCAAATTTATAAACTAATATAAGGAGTTGTCACACTTATAAAATTATTGTGTTATCCCAAAAATGCTTTCTCCCTAAATATAGTTTTGTCTAGGAAGATCTTTAAACAAATATAGTTATTAACTCTTTTAACAAATCATATAATGTAAATGAAAATATGATATAATACCTTTCCATCTTCGGTTACTAAAGCTGAACGTGTATGTTTTGGGTTATCTGGATCTTTCCAGCACAAGATATCTTCAGATTGATCTGTACCCAAGAAATGATAATAGAGCTGATGGTGTAAATTGGCATTTGTCTCCGTCCCAGCATCCAAATTATCTCCATCCCTAGGGAAAATGGTTATAGATGTTAGCACATCAGGAAACTATATCAACTGCTTTAACGGGGGGCAATTAGAACTCAGTGGTGGCAGAATTCTCCAAAAAGGTGTGGTCTGAGAGCTTCAGTTTGTAATTAATAGAAGCGTTTAACGGGTGCAATGAATCTAGCTGGGTTATGTAATAAATGGGTGCATCCATTTATCACCCATTTAATTAATGGACTGAGTCACAAATGGTTCAATGTAAACACATGAATCCATTAATACCAAGTCCATTACTTTTCAATTTTTATAATTAGCAGTATTGTTTACATTTTCCTCTTTCTCTCAGTTGACATGCGACAACCACCACTACACCATCACAGTTACAAATTACCACAGTACTACTCACTACCATTGTCATCCCCTAACCACATATCACCTTCTATCATTACAAAATCATTTCTTTTCTATTTTGCACTTTTTTCTTGATTTGAACAACTCATACTCCCTAATATACTACTAGAAAATCAACAACTAGTGCATACCCGTAAAAAGCAATTATAGAGATGGTTGGCATATCTTATGGACTATATTTGGTATATACTCAGAAGTAGAGAGACATATACCTGCATCACATTAAATTGACCACTAAACTAAAACAACTAAATTATACTAGTAATTTACCAATTAATTATAGTTGCTTTCTAATTATACTTGTTAAATCAAAATTAATGAGTACACTAAAAATGGTTGTAGACAATTTTTCCCTGTTATGCAGTAGGAATTTTTCCTTGTTCAAATTTCAGTGTAAGGCCTTATCAGCAAGGCACAACAAATCTCCAGCAAAATAAGTTGGTAATAGGTTCAAATATACGGATTGGAATGGGCAGGTTAGTAGGTCTTGATCCAACAATTATTCCAACAAAGAGAACATTTCCCTACACTTACGTGGGAGTTGGATAACGGCTGTAGAAAAAACCTTTGCCATCATGGGTCCAGCTAATACCTGAGAACTTCACCTGAAATCAAGCCAACAGCACTCAGAATCTGAACGTAATGACACTGAATATTACCCTTAGCATGTAGATATACATTATACAACTTCCTGGAGTTGAAATTGATCTTCAACACCTTGAGCTTACCCAAGAAATAGTATCTGGCAAAACATTCTTATCTTCAATCCGCATAACTTTGATGGTGACCCAATCACTTCCACTTGAACTAATCGCATATGCCAAGTACTTAGCATCCTCGCTAACAGCACATACGCTCAGTGCAACTGTCCCATCATCGCTTAACCTATTTGGATCAAGCAAAACTTCTGCTTTCCCATCCAAACTATCCTAAAACACAAAAATATATCTTTCAAAGTAATGAAAAGCACAGCTATAGGTGCAAAACTGCAAAAGGCACATAATTTACGAAGTTCATCATGCCAAGCAAATAAAAATCCAATTTTTACTGACCTGAACGTAAAGGACTTTCTGTGGTTGAAGCCCAGTATTATGGAAGTAAAAATACTTATCACCGGCGAGGAATGGAACTTCGTACTTGGGGTAATCATACAATTTGGTAAGCTTTTCCATTAGCTTCTCTCTAGTATCACAGCTCTTGAGTACCGAATCAGTAAGCTCCACTTGCCTCCCCACAAATTCCTTAGTCTCCTCTGAATCAGGGTCTTCGAGCCTATCCAAAAATCATCAAATTAAAAAGGAAAAGCCAGCAATACCCTCAAAATTGCATCAATTTCGACGCACCGAACTGACTGACAACAGTTAATTCATTCAAGAAAACCCAGGGAAAATCTCGTCCCATTCCAAAGCAGGTGAAAAGGAGAGCAAAACAAAACGAAACGGAAAAGATTACCATCGATAAGGGTCGGGAACGAGAACGCCATGGTAATTATCGGCGACGGAATCGTCACGGCGAGCGACTGGGTACTTGAGGGGCTCGATAAAGGCCTCCGTGAGAGAACCCATACTTCTTGGCGGAGAAACAGAGGGAGGAGAAGGAGCGGGGCGTAGTAAAGTTGTGAGCGGCCGCGGGGCTCTTCGATGCAGGAGGGTAAAGAATTGGGTTGACGCAAGACCGAAACTGAGAAAATTGAAAGGTTGTTTTCTAATCGATTTCGTTAATCTTCTGAATGAAAAATTGTTGATTATTTCAGTCTTAAGCCCACCAGTATTCATCCCTACATATAACACTTGCTTTCACGCAATACTCCATGGGAGTTGTGTGGAGTGTTATCATTTCTTTATCCTAATTTTGGCAACAAAAAAAAAAAGTTATATGAGTGTGCTTTTTTCAGTTTTCTTTTTCTTTTTTCTTTCTCATTACAAAATTATGAAAAACAAACATGTTTATTGACATTTTTATTTTGCATATTAATTTTCTAATAAAAAATACGAAGTTAGTGATAGATAACAATAATATCAAGTAGTGGGTGCATTAAATCTAATCACTATCTGAGCTAGTCATCTAATCAAAATTAACCATTAATTAGTGTTTAAAGTTTAATCCACTGGTTCAAACATCGACATCAAAAATGTAAGGATTAATTTAACCATTAAATCATCGTAATTTATATTTTTCTAAATGCTCTGTTGGATTGAAATGTGCTTTGGGCTGAGGATTCAACTTTTTAGGAGAAAGAAAATGAACCATCAGCCCCATAGGCTCGGTGCCGTTTGTGGGGAGGCTTTTCTTTTGCAATTAATGTTCTCTGTCTCTCAGAATACCAAAAAGAAGAAAAAAAAAAAAAAAACCCAAATATATAAAATTCGCATTAAAAATAACTCGGATAAAAGGCTCATACACAACAAATTTCCAGCAACTGAAGATTACATGCAACATCAACTAGTGTAACTGTGGCACACGATAACCCCAAAAAGAATGTTATAGAATGCTCTTTACTAATATACAATCACAAAACTTGACACATCAACTGCTGACCTCAGTATCAAAAGTATAGATGTAAACGATCAATAAAGCTTGGGGTCACTGAATCTATCCTGTCAAGAAAAGTCAATCATTTGAAGCTCATCTAAAATGCCCCTTCCCTTGTTATCTGGCTGCTGGGAGCCCACCCCCACCTCAACTGAGGATAGAATACTATTAGATGTTGATGGAACACTCTGTCCAGTTGCAGTTAACAAAGGTCCAGAAGTACCCAATGGCGATGTGGCTGTAGCCTGATTATCGGAGGCTTGTTGGTTCAATTCTATAGGTGCAGGTGAACTTGATTCCGGGGCAACCGAACTTGATTCTGGTGGTTGTGGAGCAGCATCCGGCGTTGGTGGCGCAGGCTGTGCAGCACCAGGTTCTGGCGGTGGAGCATTGGAGGCGGACACTGAAGGAGTGTCTGATTCGGGTATAGAAGCCCCTGCTGCTGCTGCTGCTGCTGCTGCTTCTGGGTTAGGTGTAACACCCGGTTCTGATGTTGGTGCAGTGCCATTTTCTGGCGGAACTGTTGCAGCATTTGGCGGTGTGGTTTTAGATCCTTCTAATAATAATGGTTTATCTGGCTTCTGTAGCAAGCCCTGCTTGTTGGGAGTCTTTGTTTGACCAGGATTTGGACCATACAGGGATGACATTCCAGGCGGCAGAATTTCAATTGGTGGCTTTTTCGCTGCGTCTGCCAAACTCGTGAGCTTGGGTTCCTCAAGAGAGGCTAGGAAAGCAGCAGCAGCATCAGTTTTTGTCGATAAAATATGCTCCATTTCTTTCTGCAACGTTTTGTTCCATGATTGAACCAGTGACCTCAATGAAGGTCGTCCATGAGCCTGCAGACAAAGAGAATTGATATTGAAGCACTAACTGTAGAAGTTGAAATGTAAAATAAATCTGGTGCCATTAATATATATGCAACAACATCAAAGGTTAAACTGTTAAACAATAATAGTTGGTAGGTAGAGAAAAATACATGAGCATGAAGAACAGCTTCTGCGAGCATCCCCGTTTCCTGCCATGCTTTCTCCATTAGAACATTGTCACCCAAAAGTGCAGCTGCAAATGCTGCTTCTCGTCCAGAACCAACTGATATCAAGTTGTTCGCCAAATTCTGCAAAACAATATTTGCCCTTGCTAAGATGAAAAAATCTCACTGTCGATAATTTGTTGCACATATAAGAAAACAGAGTGAAATCTGAAACAAAAGAGAAAGCATTTTACGTACACCGAGTCGTGTCAACTCCCCATGATTTGCTAGCCTCAAAGCAACTCCTCTCAACTCCTTACCTTGTAAAGCTCCCTTCACTGCACCAGCAGCTGCTAATCTTTTAAGAGCTTCACGAGCAATGTCAGCTTGCCCGGTAGCATCTGCAGCGTCAATAAGATCCATAAACTCATTGGCAAATTTAACTACTCCTTGAACAGCATCCACAACGTTTTCCTTCTTTTCGGTCATGTTCATAATATCATTCAGATTCAAACCAAGAGCTTCTTGACCTATATCTCTGCTGTTGCTCATTGTTAGAAGACACTGAAGTCCTCTTCTTAAATCATTGCTTTGCATGGCCAGATCAAACTCCAACCTTTTAGATATTCCAGGTAAGTGAAGTGCTTCAGTAGCATAACCCATCCCAAGCATAAATTGTGCCAAGTCATCGTGATGCTCCCTACCAAGTCGAACTGCCCATTTTACTGCACTAACAGAGTCCCCATAAGCTGCAAGACAGCGGCAACGAATACCTGGATGACTGAGGGATATTGCATGAGCGCACATATATCTATCCACTAGCCATAAAACACCATCCCTGACACCCACAATGACGAGAGGTCCAACTGGTCTTTTTTGCTCTGCTGGAAAACGAGTGACAGCAACTGCAACCCCACCACCACCTACAGCAACCTCGTTAACTCTCCTCTCTTCAGTAGGCATCCCTGATTCATCGCCGTCAACCTTGGATTGCTTAGGCAACAAGAATGGAGGCACAGAGGGTGCATGCTGAAAAGAAGCTAACCGGACAACCTGTAGCATGGGAGGTCTTAATGCTATCCTCTCTTGAGAAGTAGTTTGCTTACTTTCAACAGTTATTAACGCTAGCTCTCCATGTTCAGCGACAGCCCTTGCCTGCGATTCCTTCTGTTGCATCTCCTCTTTTCTGCGTTTTGTTTCTATGTCAATAGGTGCAACACCAGCATCCACAAATACACACTCAATAGTAGTTGGTGTAGCAACAAATAACTGCCTTCGTTGCCAAACAGCCCCAGTAGCATGTGGAATTGCCACATCTCCCAGGCACCTAAACTGTGGACGCAAAGAAGATATGACAATGTTTTGAGGATAAGCAAAAGCACAATATTCAACTGTTTGATCCCATGCTGTCCATTCAGGTTGAGGAAGAAGATCACCAACTGGCTGAAATGTTTCCCAGCTGTATAATTGGAAATTCTGTGCAGCCACTTCAGTTGAAGTTCGCTGAGAAGCGAAACCGTCATCAAAAGTGTTAAATGAAGAAACAGCACCATTTCCAAATCCGGACAACGGCATGGATTGAATTGTTGAAATTGCTGTAGCAGCAGCAGGACTAATCCTCCGAGAAGTTCGATAGGCAACACCAAGTAGTGCACCTCCATGCAAACCAATAACTGGTTCACTGCGAGTACCCACTGACCTCATTAGCACATTTGAGGTCCCATCATCCAGTAAGATACGGGCTTGAATAGCGGCAGATGAAGCAGCAGAAGCAGCAGCAGCTGCAGCTTGTGCAGCAGCTGCAGCAGCTTCCTTAGCTTTTCTAGATGAACCACCTTTAGGAATGATAGGCATCCTTGGAGGTAGTGCAGATTCCAGTAAAGCAAATCTATCCCGACAAGTGTCCCATGCCAATAGTCTTGCACTGCCAGAATCAACTATTGACCAATCACTTACCTTGTAGATTGCAAAGTAAGGGATATCAGGCCATACAATTGCCACATACCTGCATGATGTGACCAAGAAAAAACACTCAGCTCAAAAGAACATCAAAGAAATAGCAAATGCCCTAACAATGTGGAAGAGCTAGTAAAAATTATGATATCAAAGATGCACAAGTAACTTGATAGTAAGTGGAGCAAAGCATGCATGAGTACTTACTTTCCCGAACTGCTTACAGAAAGAACTGAGTATGAATCATGTGGAACTGGAGTAGTTATATGCTTCTTAGTTTGCTTAACAAACAGCTGTTCAGGGCTGTCTACCCTGAACCTTCCCGTGTCACTCAAAGATCCATTACTTCCAAGGGCTGGACTAGCAGCGTTAGACAACTGAAATTGCAGCAGCTTCAATTCCCTTTCAACTACATAGATAGCTGTATGCTCACGACTTCCAGGAGGTGTTGGCAGTGGAGCTACAGGTGGAAGAGATCGTGAATCAAATTCACACAAAATGACACCTATATTGGTTCCAGTAGCAACAAGATGAGGCTGCAGAGCATGTGCAACCATAGAGTATACCTAGAACAGCAAAGCAAAATGAGGTATATTGTTCCAAATATCTGAATTCTATATTTCTATCCTCTACACATTCATGATTCATTCATCATAGCAAGTTTCAGCTGAATATCTTCTTATTTTTCAAGATAACACTTGGTTAAAGGGTTCCCAGGATTGAATGGAGAAACTGAATTGTATAGACAACACTGATTAAGTTATGATAAGGTTAGTTGACTTGGATTTTCAGGTCATCTCAAGATAAGAAGAAGTTAAAAGGATGTTACGTCAAGGATAAGCAACATACTCTGAGCTTTTTATGCGAAGCAAGTAGTTGAGGAGGGACTAGTGAAGAAAGTTCACATAAAGGCCTTGTAAGAGCTGAATAAGTGGGGTGTTCAATAGCCCTGCAAAAGTTTCACAGAATGATATGCTCCCATCAAAGAAAGAAAAAACCCTTGAATTGTGAATAGGAACTATAGCCAAATGTTCCTAGCACTTCTTTCCCTACAATGTAAAAACTTTAAATACTGAGCACATTATGTAAGCAGCTTCAAGGGGTGGATATGCATACCAAATATGGGAATCTTTAACACATGTCAGGATATCAAGGTTTGGAGCCCGAGGGTGGCACCAAGACGCCACACTATGGCAAGTCAGTTTTGAAACTGGTTTTATTCTGCGTAATTCCTGGAAACAAATTACTTCAGTAAGTTGCAGAGGAGAAAGACAATGGTCAACAAACATATTGAAAATAACAGAGCATTTAATGAAGCGATGAGATGCACCACCTTGAATGAAATTGTGTCCCATATTGCTAATGTTTTATCAGCACCAATTGT